TTGTTGTATGAAGGGATTAATTAATTGTAGGGAGGTATTCCATAGTGCACCATGATTGGTAGACTATATGAAGGGGTTACCATTGAAAAAGATGGTTCACATATGCAATATTCCCCGTTGATTTGTGCAGAGTTGTAGCAAGCCCAAATAATTTTGCTTAAAACAACTGAAGCAAAAGTATAGAGCCCAAAAAGTGAGACCAATTTCTACTAAGGTAGCAAGTGTTTACGCCATATAACCATTGTCTACTTTTCTATACGTCCCGCAGGTCGACAAGTGCACGTAGCTGCTAGTGTGCATGCCCTACGGAGATGAGAAAGATCTATAGATATGAATCAGTCTTCAAAACCTGTTGGGCTCGGGAAGACAATCGAGTTGGTCTGCTTGGAAAACTCCTAGTAAATCTGTCATCAATCCTCTAACGATAAGTACTTAAGGATAAGAAAGTTCTTGGAGCATAAAATTTAACCGTGAGTGCCATATGAACGCCCAGGCTAGTGCATGCCTCAATTCTTAAGCAAAGACAAAATTTTCCAACTTTGTCAATCCCTACCTCATCTCCACCCCATTTACAGGAAGACTCAGCCCACTTGGGTTTTTTTTCGGTTGAAATATGTGATTGACACAAGGCAATTCCATCTGAATCTAAATGAGCTCAATAAATGGAAATTCTGGTATAAAATGGAAGAGGATGCGGTTCTGACTTCCAATTTTGTGTCATAGGCCTTTATCATATTTCCCTTGCAAAGATGACTAGTATTTATGGGCTGCATCGATAGTAAATGGGATGAAGTTCCTGAAACTCAATGAACCCACGTCATCAATTAAGCCTCCTCAATGTGTCACAAAATCACAGAAATACAGGAACCATCATCCAGAATGTCTGTTCTAAGAGCCTTGCATAAAATCGCAAACGGACAGTACAAGTGAACAACCTCAATGAATGTGTTCGCCTGTGTCCCGAGGGAAGTAGGTATTTTTAACATTTGAACAGGCCTCTACACAAGACATGGGAACATGCCTGACCATGGCCTTAGGGAGCAAGACTATACTGGGCAACGAATGGACAAAATGCGCCTACGATTGGTGCTTCGGGGCAACTGGACTGGCTGGCAGGCAGGCAGGCAGGCGGGTAGCTAGCCAGGTAGGTAGTAGGGCAGAGGGCTAGAAGCTTGCATACAAGGCGAGGGAGTTTCTTGTTTATCTTGGGCTGTGTGATTTACGCACACCAGGTGCTATATCGACCCCTCAGTGGGCGAGATTCCCCTCCGGTGGAATTGACTTTACCCATTCCTCCTTACAACTATGTAAGCCCAGGCTCCGGGACATAGACGCATGCGCCTCCACTGCATTGTCATGCGCAATCAACCATGAGGCGACAATCCGATCACCACGGTTACCATGGCTGTCTCAGGATCAAATTTATGACTTAGCTTTAACAAATATGAACACAAGTTTAGCGTTGGAATTTGTTTTTATTTCAATTAAAAGCGGGTCATATAAAGAACCTCCAAATCCATCTTAAAAAGGGCTGAGTTTTCATGAATCTAGTTTTCCTTGCACTACCAAAAATAATGCGATTCTTAAAGTTTTTCGTGCCTACGTGTTAGAAATAAAAGAAAAGTTTATCTCATTTCTAACAGCTTTAGAAGTTGAATGACTCCGTCTGGCGTAGGCAAAACGACTTGAGTTGTGGGTTTCGTAAAACATTAATATCGACCACGAAGCAAAGCCAAAAAAAAGTACTTCAGAGGTCAGGAAAAAAGTTGACATCAACTTTGTGCAAGTGAAGTGCTGTCCGATTTTTGGTGTTTCATTGGGCCTGATGACAGGACCAGAACACATGAACTAACAAGTGGCTAAAAGGTGGTTTCATTGCTTATTGGGGACATGTCGGTTTCCGGCCTAGTTTGTAAAATATAGAGGTGAATGTACCCCTCCACTTCCACTTGTTTGGAAACCAACAGCAGACAGGCTCAAAGGCTATGCAAATTTGCCGTTACACTTAATGTGTAGCATAAGGAGAGAGTGTGGCGAATGTTACCAGAACGTGTGGTTCGGAAATAGATCCAACAACTTATTGTGGTGGTGAATTACACAAATTTAGATGCCTTGCATCCAAAAACTACCCCATTTCTGAAAACAATGTAAAATTTGTGATTTGTTAATCATGTCAAAACGGTTGGAGATTGGCGTGCCAAAAAAGCATTTGACTATCCTTGGAGTGAATGATGAGACGGCTAAATCGTACTCAGATCCTCTGAAAAATCGCTCACGCATTCACTGCAGACGTTCCATATTGTAGCAATAGTCTCTAAAGCGCATGAATTATTCCGCCGTCTCTATACTTCATAAAACGTGTTCCAGATGTTATGGAGTTTGACAGCAGATTGGCTGATTAGCTTAAGTGGAATTCAGTTAAAGAACGCATCACTGGCCATCCCCACACGCCAAAGACACCATCTCACGCCTAGACGATTGCATGGACGACGATACTACTGTTTGCTTGCTGAAGGCTAAAATTGGTCTACAACCGGATGCAGCGCGAATGGAAATTCGCTTGTACTAGTTAATTAGCAAAGCAGTAGAAATTATCCCGTGACATGCCAGTCCTCCAAAAGATTTGTACTTTGTTAGAGAAATGTACTCCTTGACCCTACTCTCACCACTATCCGCATTAATGCTTTGGTACTTCTGCAAGATCAAGGTAGGCAATATCAGCCTTTTGTGAGCATTGAGCAGTCACTTCATCAAATGCAAAATGAGACTCAAAAGTTTGAGAAACGACATGGAAAAGGAGCGAAGCTAACAAGGGTTATGTCTCCTCCTGGCTTCTGTGGACAAAGTTAAAAAATCCTGGATTTCATGGCTGAAGAATGTCACGCTACAAGGAGTGCTAAGGTGGCGGCGTAAATGAGAATTCATTATCAAATGCCTATCGAGGCCTCTATTTCATTCGCAACTAGCTCTAAAAGTAAAGAATAAACGCAGGAAAATGCACAGTAAAAGGGAAACAAATCACGTTCAAGGATTATGTTTTCAATGCCCTTTTGCAGCCCAGGCTAAACGGCAAAGAGCAAGGCGATGAAACTGAAAAAAAAAAGCAAATTGCAAAATTAGCATGCTTTTCACGGAGGAAGAGGCTCATTCATCTAAAGGCTGTCTAATATTCAACCTAGGCTAGGCTATGAAGTAGGTTTCTTAAACGTTTGAAATTTATAAGGATCACAATCCACAAAATTCAAACAGGCAAACTTCAGATGGTCCGAACTGCCTTGTTTTAATGTCCTATTGCTAAGGTGCCCATAAAGCGCACCAAACCCAAACTCGATGCGCCTTCCTTGATAAGTGGCGTCGACTACTTGGATCGAGTTCTGAATAGTGCAAAATGCCTTCATAAAATAGCAGCAAAGCAAATTTTTTTCGGCCTTTTTAATGAACCGTCCCCGTGAAGGTGTTTGGATCCGGTGAAGGTACATTTAATGCATTTCACAACTGCCCACTCGCCAACGCTGCCTTAATGGTGAGGGCATACCTTTGAGGCTATTTTTGACAAAGTCCACACCAAATGACACTGTGAGCGTCTTAGTTTAAAATCAAACATCCAGAGCGCATAAATTCACCTTAATTATTGATGATCCAAAGCCACGTCTAATACAATAAAAGGCAAATTCCATAAGGAGGCCTTTTATTAGTGGCTGCGTGCGTATGTGCGAAAGCACGCCTTCAAAGGTCAAATAGAACACTAGGACGATGAGGTTTTTCAGTCTAGGAATGAAAACAATTCCATTTATTCAGTTTCCAGTACGTGATTAGGGAAAGAAGTAGTTTTTGGCTCCTCCCTTTTTCCTGCATAAACCGTCCACTTCGATGAACTTTAATGGACTGGAATAAGTTGGAGTGCAGGCGGAGAGCGATAAAATTAGAAGTGCTGTCAGCTTTCCCAAGTGCATAGTGACTTTACGACTGGGAATTTAGAGAGGTATCCAAAATTAAAAATGGTAGAGTAAATACAGTCCAGCTACAGAACATTGCCTCCTCCCTTTAGTCCATTTAGTGGTAAGTTAATTGTTTAAGATTATCTGCAAAGTGCATCTGTTTCGTAGCAGCACATATGCCCGTGAATGTCAAGTTTCGACTAACCCGGAACTACTGAGGGCTGGAAATGCCGTTCAAATGACGGAGCGAATGTTCAACGGTCGGAAACGTAGAGAACAATTCAATTCCACAGCAGCGTTTTCACTTTCACTAATTTAACACTTAAGTTGTTATAACGAACCACCACAACCTGTTGCCTACTTATGATGTCGACAATGTTCTCACCATGATTCTTCAATGGCCTGAAAATCTGGAAATCTCTGGTGCAAATTACGAACCTTTTGAAGGAGGAAGCCATTTATGTCTACTTAAACTTAAATGGAACAAAAGTAATAGCTCGATTAGTCAAAAGTAGGTTCACGTTTTCACCACAAATCGAACTGCGAGTTTAAGCAAACAGGAGGGTAGGACAATTAAATTATTCCTGAGTTTCATACATTTTTATTCTAACAAATCTCCATTCATGTTTTGGTGGGGGTTTTTTTTTGAGTTCGCCCCCTTTCTGAGTGAAAAGAGGGTCGATTTAACCAACCATCGAGGTCCATTTGCAAGGGAGAATGGGTCGGAAGATTTAATCCCTCAGTCTCCCAATAATTGGTAATTTTTTGTATATCCTCCACTATAGTGACTCAGAGTTTGGCTTTTCTGGCAAATAAATTTTTTTCCAGGTCCAGAACCAGTGTGATTACATAGTGCTGGACCTTGCAAAGCCCTCGAGTCTAACTTGTCGAGTCGAGACGATTCTCAAAAGAAGAAGAGGATGCCGAAAAAATTTCCTCTGTAGTTGACTACCTCCATAGCTTCTCTTTTCGGTAAGCAATAAGCAAAATTTTACTTATTTGATTTGCTTAAAAATAACAAATTTCGAGTATTTTCCTCGTTCCCATTTCTATCCCCTCTTATCACCAACTTACCTTGCTTTTGGTGGAGAGTACTGAAGTCACATTTTCTGTGAGAGAAATCAGGAATATACATCCATTGTACACGAAACACCTTCGATGAAGCCACAAAGATTTGGACGGTTTCTGCAACACAACAAAATGAGAGGAAGGGAACAGTAAATGGTGAAGGGGAAGGAGACAGAAAGCTCAGTACTTGTTTATTTCAAGATTTGCTAATTGATGCCAGGCTCAGAATGAATCATCTCGACGATTTACCGACATTTTGAACAATTGGGAAAGATTTGGTGAGGTGACTTTTCAACTGGAAAGGCGATAATAGAGGCCAAGGGGATAGTCTGGAAGGGGACAGGACGGGGCAATCAGCGTAATTTGTTTAGATCTATGAGCCAGACAGTGCAGAAAAAAGTGAGAAGATACTTTTTTTCTTGAGCGAAGTAAGATATTAAAGTTTTCGAGGTTATGTTTACAGAAGATGACTCTGCGTAAGGAATGATAAACTGGGATGTCAAGGAGATCAACTTCTTTAATATTATTTGAGAGAGGGGATTTTAGCGATGGAAAGGTCAAAGGCTTGTTTACTCGTCCTTCGAGCGTGTCCATTAATGAGGGAGGTCTTAGATCCTCACCCGGCATAGGCTCTGTAGAGAACGAGGGTGGAGCAGTGGAAAGGAATTTAATGCCACTCCCCTTAAAGCATCGAAGAGGAATTTTTGACCAGTTTCAACAGGTTCAAGTAGTCTTTGAATTTCAGAGGAAATTTACTCCACTTAAGGGTTCGTCATTGTATCGTCGCAAGCGAGGTTAGCCTTCATACTAGACAGTAGCCTCCAAGGCCCCTGAACGCCAACAATACATGTTTCGACTGAGGCTTTTAGTCCTTGTCTTCCCAAAACTTCCCGGGAGCTACAATAGAGACATCAAGTATGTCATATCCTAGTTAATGAAAGGAAAGGCCACTTATCTCCTGATCGAAATTAAAGGAGAGAGTCTTCAGAGTATTCTGCATAGCTCCTTTTCTCCTAACAGAGGAAGGAAATGGAGGAGAATCCGATTTATCGCCACTGTAGGAAGGAACTGCCCGATGTTGACTCCTAAGGTCAATCCAATCGGTACGAATAAAGACAACCGGAAAGGTACTTATGACCAAACTAATTGGGACTTAAGGTATCGCCTTTTTACTCTCGAGGAAATAAGTCATTTTACAGCAGGCTGGCAGCTGATTTTACTAGGCATATGCTCTTCCCATGACATATTGTAGATTGCAGAAACTTGTCAAGAATAAGCGTCAGTTTTTGACAGCCTGTCAATAAGGCACTCTTTATCTGTGTTCAGTACTATTTTGAATTCACTCTATCAGCTCAAAGACGGAATAAGGGAGGGTGCAGATGAGATACGGCCTCATCTCACATTCAGCAATTTCTGGGGATCACATTTGCAGCACTCCAGCAGGGACATTATCATGACCAGAGCCTTCACGCCTTGTGAAAACAAAATCCAGGCTACTTCGCTGCTAGATGGAACGAGAAGTCTTACGTCAGACAACCTGTCAGTGAGACCTTTAATGTCGGAACCTCTTCACCCAGTGTTGATTGTCATATTCACTGCCTTATTTCCTGCATTATTTTTTCAGCTTAAATTTCAAAGACCGAATATTGAAAACAAATTTGTAGTATTTCTGTTGATGAAGTTTTTTGACCCAAAAGAGTATTTAATTGGAGTGAAAAGTAAATGAAGAAGAGAGGGAAATTTTTTCTTGTGATTGCATTCATTAATTACTTCCCTGTTTTAATTAGAATCCAGTCTCCACAAAATACGCTCATTTTCTTGGGATTGAAAGAAATTACGCGATATAAGAGATAACATCGCATTGGGACCATCCGCTGCCCTCTAAACGGCAGTTGTATGGAGAGGAGAAAGGAAAAAATAGCGGAGTGAATTATAGATCCACTAGAGAAGAATATGTACAACCATCTACACCTACGATGTTCTCATCGCTCTCCAATGCTACGATCACGGTTGCCACCGGAATTGCCTCGCCCGCTTGGCGTTGCGACTCACTGTGAACGGACCGATGAGAAATGAAGAGGTGCCGACGTCTGCGGCGCTGTTCCAAGTTTGACACCAGCTTGGCTGATGATGGTGGCGGTGATGGTGGTGATGATGGCTCATCCCTTTCGCCTACGGCTCGAGCTATCAAAGCTTCGTCAGCTGAACTTCGTCGATGTTGCATGGAAGGAATTGAACTGGTGGAGTTCTCTCGTTCTTCACTGGAGGGTGCCTTCGTTGAGGCCAGGACCGAGGTCAGCTTCAAAGCACAAAAGACATTGAAGGAAAGGGAGTTATTTTCGTCTTGTGGGCATTCCGGAAGACGATTTCCTTGAAGGACCAAATCAAATCCCACTGTTTTACGTTAATTAAATCTCAAGCCGACGTTTCCTATACCTCACAGATCTATAAATAACCCAAAATTAAGAAAAATAATTGTTGAAACTAATGTCTTTTGAAACAGTTATTTGCCATGTGAAAGACTTTTTTTGCATCTTTTGCTCAAGCAAAAAGAAGAGTGACCTTACTGAATCGCCATAGATGTGACGAAAGCGACGGAGATTGCGAACACTCCGAGCGATGTGTTGATGATACAGCCGTTGTTGGTAGGTGGTTTCACCTCTGAATTACGCAAATTAAATAAGGCATAATGGATGAAAAAGAAGAACGATTGTTGCAGCGTCTTTATAAAGTTAACAAGGTGTATTGTGGCCTTTGGTAAGCACACCAATGCCATCAATTTGACCGATTTCGGGACTGACAAATGGTCATGCGCTCTCTTGAATGATCTGAGGTTATGTGATCCAAACATGCCTTCAAAGATCTAAGGCTCAAAGTGGCTAACGTCTTGTAGCTACAAGAGGCACCGAAACAGTCTTTCTTCACAAAGATGTCACCTCGTATCACTTCATTCGACTATGCATCCGATCTCCAGTTTTGGCATTAGCGCTGCTCACTTTTAGCAGTCAATCAACTCCCTTTCCTTCACCCAGCCGAATAAAATGGCGCCAACCGCTGTATCTAGTTTTGAATAAGTAACAATAAAGGGATGAAACGCGGAGTCAGTGGTGGATATAGATGATGGCGTTTTCCAATAATATTAACCAAATCTAAACTAGTTTCCTTCGAAATCAGCGTTGACATTTGAAATGCCACAAATCGCATTCAGTGCTCATGCGGTGGTGTCAAATGGGCAACATCAAGACGGCTCTGGAGCAGTGACGAACATCGAACATCTGCACGGGCGTATCGATGTCTCCGGCTGATTTCCCTTCCTATTTAGAGAGAAGACTACTGACAAGATGATAGGACACTCATTTGAAAGAAATTCGTATTCACATCGATATGACTTTAAAGTTACGGGTCCATCAACCTTGGAAGATTAAGACTCTCCCTTCCGCCCTCCACCCCCATCCACAATACATCTTCCGAGAGAACAGGTTAAAAAAAGACATCCGCTCTATTTCATACGGTGAATCGTCGAATGGGTGCTTCAAAAAAGGAAGGCATCTACTGTAGACGGTTCAATCCGTGAAGACTCCTAAGTGTCATTTGCTCCTAACGTGTCTCGCCAAATTCCTGTTCTACCGGAAGGTTAATGCCAGCAGACTTTAAAGGTGCAAAAAACGCTATGATCCTGGCGACAAAAAGGAAGGCGAATAGATCGGTAAAAAAATTAGAGGGAAATAAAACACACTGCGAAGCCAAGTTAATGCGTCCGAAGGTTAGTAACTCCCCTTTTAGGCCAAAGTCTAGCTTTGAACGATGGAAAAGGCGATTAAAGCAGAGCTAAAAGAAGGTGCATTTGTGACAATTGAATTAATTCCTAACTACAACTTACATTTCTTCGCAGGTGGCACGCTAATCGGATTTTTATAGTCGGACTCAGAAAGACGGTCTTGTGCAGCTCTAAAAATCCTAATCGAAAGGAAAAGCCCTTGTCCCTACCCATGCTGTGACTTATTTTCCACATGAGTAAAGGAGGAACTTAGAGAGGAACTCCCAGACAGGCGCCGATTTAGTAAGGAAACACCTATGCCTTCGCCATTTCTTAGAACTTCAAACTAAAGAGTTCGCATTCGTTTCCCGTATCTCCTTCTCTTCCTCCTCTATGAGGCAGTGGTTATGGCTAACTAAATATTTGGAGAGTTCAACATCTGTCAGCCTTTCCTCCCGTCGATTCAGTCGTCTAGGAATAATTTTTTTACACTAAGAACAGATTTCTCCTTTTATGGCAAGTGGTCAGGGACTAGTATTATAATATCATCAATTGTCACAACTTCGCCCTTAGCTCTTCCAGTGACATGGGAACTTTTGAAGGCCAACACTTCAATAATTTCTTTAAAAATCAAATTTATTCCAACAAATAGAACCTATGGCAATTCATAGAACCTCTACTCGATCGAGTTTGAATCGGTTCCCCACTATCTTCATAGAAATATCTATTGAATAACCCATTTCCAAGTTTCCTTTAATTTTATCCATCCTCCTTTCCATTGTCCGCCCTAAAAAAAGAACCCAAAAACACGCTTTTGGAAGCATACTGACGAGGGTTCTTCAATTGCTTTGGCTAGTCAAACACTCAGAGAGGCGCCAATTTCCTCCTCTTGCATACCATCATCTAACCAAAAAACAAGTGACAAGTGACCACTTGTTTCGTTAGTTCCATCTAGTACGTCAATACAAAAGGCCCTTATCTATCTCTTTTTAAGCCATAAATTAATGATTTCAGAGGCGCCTAATGACAGCCGATACAACCTTTTCAAGATTGTCTCAAAAGGCTTATTAATGTTGAGCAATTAGAAAGGATAGGCTTGAGACATGTCTAGTCTCCATTTTTTAAATCTTTTTGGGGAGTAGGCGCACCGTAATTCACCCACATATTCCTGAAGCCACGCACCATCCCACAAAGGGGCTTCACTCCACACATGTGGTCGAATAAGTGCGCAGAAATGAGGAAAAGAAGATGAAAATATTTTTGACGCATAGGAACAAGTGGGGCAGGTAATGATGATTGGTAACTTTATAGAACAGTAAAGTCAATTGGAAGCTCATTCAAAATGAGGCCACCAAACCGATCACGAAATCAGTTAAGTGAGTAGCTGAAAGCATTTCTGTTACCTCAATATGGAAAAGTGGAGAGAATGGAAAGAATAACAATCACCGATGAGTACCCGCAAGCAGGGTCCATACAAAAGAATCCGTGAAAGGAGACGACAATGAATCTTTTCATTCACTAAGATTGAACGATACTTAGTCGAAAGTCATGTCTTGTCATGCCGTGTCGTATAAATTTTTTTGTCCATCTTTATTAAACGAAGTTGGAAAATGAGTCATCGTAGGGAAACTGTTTTGACGGGTACTAAAAGCAATTTTAAAGAGGGAAGAAGTTATAACTAAAAATCTTCAAAGAATTTGATAACTGACTTGGGAGGTGAGTGTTGCACGACAGCGTCGAAGGCAGTCATGGTGGAGGTGGTGGCAGTGACGGTGGTCGAGTCAGCCGTACTGGCAGTGTAGGAGGAGCCGAAAAAATGAACCGCCTCCTCCGAGGTAGATGGAATGGGGCAGGAACCGAGGTTTAAGTTCCCCATTGGCACTTCAACTGTCGAAGTGATAAAATGCAAAATCAGCAATAGGTTCTCAGAGGTACCTTTCACAAAACAAGGCTCCAAAGGTGGGAAAAACCTCCAAATTATAGACACCGTTTTAAACTTTCTAATTTGCATGTACCTACGTGACTGTTTTACTCCAAGGGATTGGAGGTTTTGTATGGGAAACATAGGAGACAGGAATAAGGCAATCCCCTCCGCCCATGTTCAAACGCTGCTCTTTCACTCAACATTCAGGGCGGAACCTTTCGTATTGAAACTAAAAGTGCACTATTTTAAGCTGGCCCAAGCACAAGTAGGGGCGGCACTCAACTTCCCAACTTAAGCATTGCTGCTGACACGTGACTCTGCACTCAAAAAGGACGGAAGGCTCCCGCGTGTTGCTTTGCCTGATGTGTTAGGAGAATACACTTATTGAGGCCATTTCTGGGCGATAACTTTACTACGTTACCACCTCTAAATGCTGCAATAAATTTTACGAGGACTTTTTCCAAGCTTTCGGAGCCAAGTTTAACTGCTGTAAAAGCAGCACCCAAGCCTCCAATCACAACCATCAACTTTGGTCTACCCCTTTATGGGAGTATTAAAGTAACTAAAGGGAGGGAAGAAATACTACAAAGCATTTTTGTGCTCCATACATCATGCAAACAATAGCATGTTTCCAAAATACCATGATTTGCCTCCAAAAGTACGCAAACTCGACATTTAATGAGTTCCGTCGATTGTGACATTTCCAAACTAAACTCGAAGGCAGAGCATAAAGCCCAAAAGTTACGAACCATCCCATTTACACTTTCAGGATGGCTTACCATCCGAACGGAGCAGTTGGTTGACGGACCATTTGGGAAGACCTCCAATCATCCACTGGAACCTCACAAAACCCTTAGACCACAAAAGAACATTAAAGATCCACAAGCACAGGAGAAAGACGAGGCAAGACTCAGATTTAGACTCTCCAAATAAATTATATAAGTCTGTTATCAATTTTAAGGTTTCAAGGATTTTTAGTTCCATAAAAGTACAAAAAATAGTTTCCGAAGGACAGACTGTGGAGTACATCGATACTGGTTTTGGGGGCGATTTTCGGTGGTACAACAAAGTAATAACTTCATGTAGCTCGTAAAACGAAGGCGAATTCTTACATGCGTTGTAAGACTTGCGTATTTACGTCAGTCCACCAATGAAGCATTCTTTTCTGCCCTCCCTACACGTTACCTTTTTTGCTGAAGCACATAAAATGGCGGCGAATGGAAATGACGAGAGGATATCAATTTGTTTCTTCATCCTCTCCTGTAAACCCGCTATTATTCTGGTTGGGGAAAGAATCTCCGTGTAGCCTTATTTACTATCGGTTTATCGCCTCGATTTCCTTTACCTTTTCCTCACCGCCTTCTTCTTTTCTGAAATTGTCCACTCGCTAAAAGGCCCACACTTCTAAGGTGATAGATGAATCCAAGACTATGTCAACCTTGCTTTTCTACCTTCAAGAAGATATGCAAAAATGGAATTCGTAAGTGACTACTGCTAGTTAGGCAGTCTTCTTCAATTAGGCATTGTGGTTCTTTTAGATCGCCCAAAGGAAAATCGAAGACTTTTCACCCATTTCTGAAAGTTGAGCCACATTTTTAAAGCGGATGCGTTGGCGCAGTCATGCTACCTTCGACATTGTCACAATTGAAATGTTTGGCTAGCGATTTTTTGGATACTTCGTAGACATGGTTATGTGATTTCTCTTTCCTGAAGGTGTGATGCAAAATCTGATTTTGTTTTGCAAAAGACATGAGAGATACCGCGGGAAGTAGCATTAATGGCACCTAAGGCCTCTCCAGGACTAGGTACTATTTATGAGTGACAACTGGACAATACTAAGTTTTCGGGCATCAGTGACAGGTGTCAAGATCGTCAATGCTAAATGTGCAGGACAGAGTTAATTTTGAGACAAAGTAGCAAAAGATCAGTGTCAGATAATGTCTATAGAATTTAAAATAGAAAATGGTTTTGTGATGACCGATGCAATACATTAAACAAAAGAGTGCTATTGTAATCCAAAAGAAATGAAATAAGAATGCTGTGAGTAAAGACACTGGATGATACCCTTCTCCCGCAATCCAAAACAAAGTCTCACCCAAATTACTTGTGGAAAAACTAACGCTCTATTTATAACTGAAGGATTGTGACGGGATGAACTTGCTCAATCAATGTTCCTCGCCTATCCTTGGTAGAGCCAAGTAAGTAAGTTTGAGGTAGAATCTGAAACGGTCGGAGCTGTGTCGTCCTACTTCGAAAGCATTGCTTTGTACGCGCAAAGTCCTCTAGAAACACCCGTCGTACGCATAACGCACGTTTTTAGAGGGCCTGGGAAACAAAATTCTCCACCTTGGTGTACATTGTCACTGATTGAAAAGGAGTTGCAACAATTAAAATCCTTTCTTTAGCTTTCAAGTCACAGTTGTCTGAACAAATGCAACTGCGAAATGTGACTTTTGTACCCATCCCTTTTTATTGTAGGCTTTTTGAATTCGCGTTGCTCAAAAACGACCTCCAACAGTGACTCCTTAATGGACATCATTTTTAATTTGAAGTCACAAACGCACACACACATACAGAGGGCGATAGTTAGAGTGAATCATCGCGGCAAAGGATGAAAATGAGGGAAAAAGTATGGGAGGTAGAATTAGGCAAGCAACAATGTTTCGTGTTAACAGGGTTACCGTTGAGACCTTTTCTACCTTGAAAGTAAAATAAATTTCAAGGTTCGGGAGTCCACATAGTGGTCTGAGAATTAAAACTAGAAAGTTATCTCAAACGCAAGATAATTCACGGCCTAGTTGAAAAATACTTTAAAGAGCTGGAATATCTCTTTGAATAAAAAACAAACTCACCAACTAGTTCGAAGAAACTACTGCTCTATTTTTAGTGCGCTGGAGAAAACAAAAAACAAAAGACTACGTTGCTCTAAGTTCCGGATGTGCCTACTCTGTCCGTACAACACAAATCTTTTGCACACGATTGGGGGAGGAGTTCATCGTTAAAGAGAATTGAATTTGAAGGCCTAATTACACAGAGATTGTAAAAGAATTGAGCCCATCCTCTATCGATAAAGTTTGTGATTAAAAACTTCAAGAAAACCATGGTTAGTACAACCCAAAAGCTTTTTAATCCTACGACTAACTTTACTTTAATTAGCCTGTTTCATACGAATACAATCCTTTCCGACTCAGTATAAATCAACTTCCACTAAATTCATTCGATAGATATAGCTGAAAGTCTATCGAGCTCACCCGAACTAGTTGAATGCCCGTCTGGCGAGATCGGCGCACGTCCACTACTCTCCGCAATATCAGTGCCATCAGAGAGCATGGATACTTGCGAAGAAATCGCACTCTCAACTTGAACGCCGCTAACACTGGGTGGGTTCGGCAGTGCCTGCAGCGGTGGCGAAATGGACGTCGAGGTGGCTTCGATTGATGCCGATTTATATGGTTGAGGATACCAGTTTATCCGTGCGTAGCTCTGTCCTCTAGTGCTTACTACAGTTCCAGGTCCAACTCTTACCAACTGATCCGTTGGCAATACTGGAAGAGAGGACTTTCGATCGTTTGTATCAGCTATGATACCTCCGACACGAGTTAAATGCAGAGGCGAGCCACGTGGACTTGGGTTAAAGCTGCAAAGGGCCGAACTAGGTGGGGACAGGCAAATGTCACACCTTGCAACGCGTGTCACCCGACCGATGTGAACAGTTCCAGGAGGTGCAGTGTGATGGCCTCTACGTGGTCCTCCGCGCACACCTCCGCCACGTAGAACAACAGCAGCTGCACGGGTGGAGCGGATGGAGACAGGAAGGGGACGATTTTGCCCGAGGCGAAGGAGTTCATCTTGGCTCATCCCTCCACTAATTGCAAGACTGGCGACAGCTCCAATTGGTGGACTAGTTCGAGAGGAGGTCGGAGGAACTCTAGGGAGTGTACTAGAAGCAGAAGTGCGATGCGAGAACTGCGACTGATGCGTGGGAACAGGACTTAGAGGCGGTTTCGTAACCAAGAGATTGTCCCTTCGAGTCTCCTCAGCATCTAAAATACCAACTACAGACGAAAAATTATTCATATCCAAGAGTTTCAAAATGCATTAAAAGCGAAGAGTTTGGCATGCTCACTTGAGACTGATTGAGCGGAATCCGAAACGATACCGTTAGAGGAGGCTGGGTTCGAAGAGGGAACTTCGGCCATAACGGTCCTTGGCGATGTTAGTCAAAGCCAATTCCACTTCAATGGAATCTGCAAGCAGATAAATGATCAACCAAAATATCTCCAAGAAGTTTAAAAAACTTAAATAGGAGTTACCTAAGCTCCATTAAATATTCTGATGATTGTAAAGCTTGAAATAAAACAAGAAAAATGTGCTCCAAGTTTTAAGTATCAGTATAGAATAAGAAATTGGTCACCGACAGCAAAGCCCCAGGTATGAATTCAAATGGGAGAAGGATTGTTCGTTAATCACGTCAAGTGGTAAAATATAGGGTAAGATGATGCGCCGTAGAAGTGCAAATTCGACACGTTATAAGTCAGGCACATTTTAACTTTAAGTATGCATACACCTCGCAACCAGAGTAAAGATAAGTTTATGAGTAAAGTTTGAAGTCAACTTGAAGTACAGGTACAGCAAATGCATTTAGTACCACCGAGGCGGAGCACAAATGCGGATCAATAAAATAGCGTAGCCGTGCATAAAAATTTGGCAAATTGTTATTTACAAGAGGAAAGATAAAAATCAGAGCATGGATGGCACAAATTGTTCACGGAACATTCCCACGAATTCGCGATAACTCGAACTATGTCGATAAACATAAAATCGCTACACCAAATTTTGCACATATAGTAGGTTTAAACACTTCATTGATAACCTTGAAATGCAATGAGTGACGACTTCACGTGTAAATAAAACTTAGGACATACACAATCAAATAGTAGCAATAGTTACTATGCTGAGTTTTATAAAAAAGACTTTTTTTGCAATACAATAGGAGAAAGTGATTGTAAGAGCTACCTGCCTAGCTTCTTGCCCTTGGACCTTAGACTTCAAGAGAGGCTTAGTTACAGGTGATTTATTTGGCATTTGTTACAGGAAGAACGGGGATTGGTATGCGGATGAGCCGAATAGGAGTTATCAGCTGGAAATAAACTCCTCACTGCCTTTGCGCACGTAAATCGCGTTTCCAATCGGTTCCAGCCCCTCCTATAAAAGACCGCTTAAACAAACTATTATATATTACAGTTTCAATGCGTGGACCTTACCTCACTATTGCCTCAAAAAAATGCCTAGTGCATCATTAGACTTCTGAATGCATCAGGTGTAGCATTAGGAGACCTCCTGCTGTTTGGAAGGAGAAGTAAGTAGAGCTGAACCTATTTCGTTTTCGAATCGCTAAAACGCTTCTCCCCTATGAAGGCAACTTAAGTACACTTGCATATATTACAACATTTTCCACCTGCCAAGGCTTGCATGAATATCAAACTATGGTGTTTTAGATTTTTTATGGGTCGAGGAAGACATCAAGCTGGAGAGAATATATGTATTCTTAGAGAAGGGGATAGAGCCATTTCATGGCTAAAAGGCCAGCTTACACGTACACCGGCCAGACGAAAGCCACAAGTAGCCGCCAAATTTTAAATGATCACGTAATACAAGTATTGCATGGACAATTACGATCCGTGGTTTCGTACTAATGCCTTTATTTAAAAATAACCCGCCTATAGTTTAAGTTACCTTGTAATAAGACGCATACTGCAGTTTGCCTTGGTTTAGCTCATGATTGGTTCGTAGCATTGGTGTTCTCGAATCCTTTACTGTTATCCTAGGTGGTTAACTCTTCTTTATTGCTTGTACATCATCTCACGCCATGTTTTATTTCCTTGTGAGGAACAACTTTTTGATGCTTCCTAGTGGAAATTGTCGACTCGGGCCAATTTCTTCTTTTCCCAATATTATTGACGCTTTGTTACATGTAGGCTTCCCGTTAAACTCTGAGGTGTTGAAATCAAACCGGATTCTTGTAAAGTTCGAATTTCATTATCTAATCTAATGTCACAGATTGTGGCATTATGTTATCTAGGCCAATTTACTTTTCGATTTTTGAATAATAAATTTCTTAATGCCTTAAAACGAGTTGGGACAAGTTGTGAGCAAATTCTTGACTTTGTAGATTAGGGATGCGACTTAAACTTCCCCAACCAGTGCAGCTGTGGTTCAATTCCATCAGTACATCTGCCAAACGGCATCTTCATATGGAAAAGTTGGAAGAAGAGGTCAATGATGGTACAACCGTTTCTAATTCCTTTATCGTGGAAGCCGTCCAGAACTTGTGCTACGAAATTTTCGCCATTCCCGTCTGTACATCAGATGCCGTGAACGTAGCGCAGACGATCTGTGGCCATATCTATGATCTTGCGCAGAGCAGCAACCCGGCCTTACAGCTCATTGTTTTGGATCTAATCCCCACTCTTGTGCATGTTTATCTCGTCCTCTCAAGTGAGTCTACAGACCTCATTTTTAGTCGTTCCTTCAGTACCTGCGTCTGCACTTAAGCACGGAAAAGGTCGCTCTTGATTCCTTCCTTAGTTTATACCAAAGGCTCTGTATCTAAGACACTCTAATGGAGCTGCCTCTACTGTTTGAGTGGGAGAATTAGATGTTTAATGTCCCCTTCCTTAGAGATTGTGAAATGCTTGTTTTTGAATATATTACCAAATATCGTCAAATTATATGGTTTAGCAGACGTCCCACTTTTTCTTGTTCCTGTTTTTTGATGACTATGACAACTTCGGATTTCTTTAAATTTATCCAAACAACCAGATCTGAAGTTTGTTAACCCCCAACATTATTTCTTCTCGATCGGAAGTTGTTTTCAAACAAAAATTGCCAATAGTCAACATTGTCAAACGAGAACCAACTTCTACCACCCATACTGTCAAACCCTCACTAAAGGAGTAAAGGTTTAAATCCCTGCGTATATTTTCACTCGGGACGGATTGTTTTGTTGGTTGAATCTACAAAAATTTATGCTGAAAACTTCTACGATGAACTTTACTCGATTCGACTTTGCGTACGAAGATCCTCCTTCCAACTGTATTATCGAGGTATGTTGAGGCTCTCGTCGTCGTCCTGCCAAACTCCTTATTTGTAGGAAGCTTTGCATTTATTTACCCATCTGCGCCTCTACTCATCTCATTTTAAAATTGGTTTAAAGTCAACTTTATAATTGCAATTGTTTGGTCCTGTCTCTTCCGCCCTCCTAAGCAGTCAGAATTGGTCTCCAAAGCAGTCTGTAAATCAGTACGCAAACGACGTACTATTCACGATCCACATATACTTACTATTGTTAACCAAGATTTTTGCTACTAAATCATGTTCGCTATTAGGTCTAATAATTTTGGCTCCTCATCTATGAGCTTGGTAGATCAGTTAATGTAGCCTTTTTAGGGAGTAATTTTATGTTTCTTCTCCTATGGAACAAAAGCTTATGTAAGTCCTTTTTATAGACGAACCGTAATTACGCATGAACGGAAGAAATCATTAGCCCCAGTCGCTTCATATTTACTCCACTTTCATTTCGCATCTATCTGCTTTGCATCGGGAGTGTTTTTTAAAGTCATGAAAATGAAAAGCCATTATAGAACGTGGGGACGTATGGACAGTGGTGGACCATCCTCTTTGCATAACTGAGGCATAGCTTCTACCATGCAGGTTTTTGCTCTTTCTCGCAGGAACCGGGCTTTAGATTGAGCACTTGGCTAGTCCCATCTGCCGTCTAGGGAACCATCCTCGCACTATATCTGTCCACTTAAAATTGTGCCAAGCATCTAATCTTCATGGGGTAATTCTTAGCAAACGTTTCTGCTATCAGCCTGTCGCAGAAGCAGACAGATTCGTCTTCTTGGTGCCTATTGACAGTGCTCTAGATTTGTGGACAAATGTTGGATCTTTTGGGGATAATCCATGCTTAAATTTAGAGCACAATGTTCATTCCTCACAGTAGGTCAATCATTACATAGAATAAGACACTTAATGCATGTGAAACAGGCAAAGTAGTTGATTTTGTAACTTATCTCCATCTGTAACAGAGCTACTTTACTGTCATCCTCTCCTCACGCATCGATGTGAATTTCCCCATTACTGTCAAAAACGGGATTGTCTTAATCTGGCCCACTTGGCTCTGGTGGTGGATGGACTAAATCCGATTATTTATCTTAGGTATTTCGAAGTTATTCGTTCTACTGCCTTCATATACCCTACGGCAGATTTTGCGAATAACTTGGAATTGCTACAGTCGAGTTTAATTTGACTTGGAAAGTGGATAACCTCATCCAGCATGCTCTCCTGCCACCTCGGGATGCGGGTCAATTCAAAGTGTCTTAAAATTATAAGTAGCAGTATAAACTCCAGTGTCCTTGGCTTGAGAAGTAGCCGTCATTTATGTTTCGTGTACATGTATATTTGTAGCCTCTTAAACTTTCCTTATGATGCAAGATATTATTACGGTGAACTGCACCGTTGCTTCGGTGACCTGTCGCTTCGTGTTTCGATGCTTGAGTTGTTTAAATAAAACGTTTCAAAATTTATCAAATTTGTATACTCTGTTCACTTATGAACCCCATATCTCTGCCATTAGAAAGCTGTCATATATGAAGCCTCATTTAACGTTCCCTTTGTGCTATGCTCTCTCAGAATTCAATTGTATACGGAACTAGCTATCTCGACTAGTGAGCAACTCGTCGCCCTTTTAGTAATTAAAACGACATTCACCCTGGGTATCGGGTTGCATATATCAGCATATAAACGTAGATCGTTTTGGTTTGGGTTGGTTGTGTAGAGACGTTCCTAGGTCACACGAACATTATATTTAATCATCTGTGTTGAGGACTTTGACTTCAATTTGTTAAGAGGGCTAATGCGGTAGTATCCCTCTATTACCCTCGTTCTCAAGCCTCGACATGATTTATTCCATGCTGATACATGGCAGTCTTCTGAATGGGTTTGGAAAAAGACAACCCAACTCGTGACAATCGGTCTGAAGGAACCTTCAACGCAATGAAATAAATGCTGAGTAGATTGCGACATAACTTTGTTTGGTTGGATTTAAAAGTATATATTTCTCATCTTTGCACTATCGCTCGCCCTCAAGGCAGGAGATGTTGCTCATTTCAGCCTCCTTACAGTCACGATTGTATAAAGTACACGATTTGGTCGTGTGACCAAATAATGAACTACGATCTCTGGCTGAAAGAAGTCACACTTCTGCCTTATCATGTGCCATCAGGTACGGCAGCTGGTCCGCAACTTAAACGCATCTTGTGAACGGAGAGGAGATGAGATCACACCTTCTCTACGTTTCTACTTTTCTTATTTGCACGGCCTGTTGCTAGCCTCATCACGCCATGCCTATTCCGTCCTGTATAATTTCCGTTAAAGGAAAGCACACGGAAGTTGTGTGTTTTACTTTATGCAAGGAATTGACGCCCAGTCATATTGGAAGCCATGTCCAAAGTGTTGCTTCTTTACTTTTCAAAGTTACCGCTTATTCCTTTTTTTCTCACTTAGCACGTAGCTCAGAGATATGCTTCCGTTTTCAGTTTATGCACTCACTCAAGCTGCAGTTCCATATTCCATTGTAAGAAGTTGTCGCTAGAACACGCCACTGCCTTCTCATAGTCAAATGGATCACTTTGTCTCACTTTATGGTATGACCACTTCCTTCATTTCTTTAAAAGCAGCGGCCACATAAATGGCCTGAAAATATACTTCAAGAATAACTCAATTTCACTCTTTGTGTCCGTCAAGTGTCAGGATGAAAGGAAGCATTATTGTTTTTACACCCAAAAACAGGATTTTCGCCTTGTAACAATGGGTAGCGTATCTTTCACCTCAGTCCTAATAACTGTCTCGGGACAATGGAGAATGGCATGCGTCTCTAGCTTCTTTTGGCAAACAATATGGATACTATCATGGGTATCTGAAGTGATGCAACAGGGCGTGGTGAACCCGACTATTTTTGCCTTTTTTCATCTGGTGCTAGGCCAATATCAAACTTGGCACTCCGTCGTGCCGAAAAGCTTTGCCTCCGACATCATGAGAGTGCATTAGCACTTCTTTGCTAAATGTACTAGAAGAAAATTTAGATTTGCCAATTTCAAGGATTGGGCAAAGGTTCCGTTGTCTTGGGCATAGCTTTCGTTGTGAATGCGAAGACTTACACCGGGCATAACTATCATTGTTTTTTCGCCAAATTTTACGTTGTAATAATGTTCAAAGTGGATGAGCAATCAGTTTTCAACTCATTTTTAAAAACAACTTACAGTTCGAATTCAGTGAATTGGCATCTGTTTTGCTCATGTATTTTATGTTCTTTTGCGTGCTAAACCGACATTCCTAGTTAGTTTTTGACTGAAAAGCAAGAATTGTGTCCCTTACCTACTTTACTGACTTCTATTGCCCACTACAGCTAGTGTCGGACAATTAGTCGACATCCATCTAAGTAGACCGGGCTGAACGACGTACTTTGGACGTTTGGATGGGTGTTTCTTTTGCTGCTGAGTTCCTGCTGGTGATGGGGAGAAGAAGAAAGGAAATGGGAGTACAAGCCCTGTCTCGGCCAAAAAAGGCAGTAGTCACCCTTTTCTGAATAGTTGTCTTCGAGCCCCAGTGAATACGTTGTATGACCTGTTTTCGTTTTAAAGAAGTTTATGATATTATCATTGTAAATAGCCCCAACATCCGTTTAATCACTTCTCTAATATTTAAAAGGAGAATAGCTCTTTGTGGACATTGTCTCAGATGATCCCTGTGACAAATTATCTCCACGTTCCTTCCTTTCTGCCAAAGTGGGATAATTGAAGCTTAAACGTCTCCTCACCGCTTCTATGTGTGTGGAAGCCAAAGGAAGGGAAATTTCGTTTGGGGAAGGGAACACCGGGGACAATTTTCCCGCCACTCCATTCCTTTGAGAGGTAAAAATAGGTATCTTGTCCAAAAAAAGCGTAGTTGACCCATTTTACTAGGGAATTATGTGATAACACGTTAGAAAATGCATTGTTTGTTCTAAAGGCAAAATACATGAACGTGACCTATAAGCTTTTGCAGCCAGAATAAATAAAGTCGAGGCGTTAGTTACTGCTTTCTTTCCTCCAGGAGAACGGCATTTTGAAATACTCTTTATTTCAATACACATTGAAAATAGGAGTTCCTATTTCGTCTCAGTGCTCAAATGATCAGGTCAATTTTGCTCGTTTTAGTGAAGTTAATTAACACGACAGAGGTCTACGCTCGGAATAATAGTTTAGGTAAAAGCTCGCCAAAGCCACGCCTCTTCATGTTCCCCTTTCTCCGTCCCATTTGTCCACTTTGAATGCGCTTGGGTGATCGTCCTATGTCGAGTTGAGGCAACGATAGGCCACTGCCTTACTATGCTGATTCGAGACAAGAGGAGAGCAGTTCATACACAATTTGTAGTATCATGCCATCTAATTTGCACATGGGTGGACTTTGGACAATCATAGAAATTGTAAAAAACACCACAATTTGCAGAGGGTCATTGTACTCCTAGCAATTGTTTCTCTCCTGTCCAGCTTCAACTCGAAACCCTAAAACGGCCTGGATTTTTGAAACTGAAGCAATTGTGTTTTCATATTCCGCCTTGAAAATAAAGGCCCTCATCCCGAGGGGACCGGATTTCTGTAGCCCAATTGAGGTATGAGTCCATCCACTTGGGCCACATTAAAGTGCTAAATATCACTGCAAAAATTATTCATCTTGATCAGAGCTTGAGCTTAAAAGCGATCGCAGCTGCAATTCGTTTATTGACGGAACCTTAAACGCATCATAAGTTTTGATTAACTTTTGGAATATCTTCCTGCTTCTGTTGTCACCATGTGATCAGACTTCTTTGTATTAGTCAGCTCTGTGTAATGCTGAACCTAACCTTCTGATCCGCCTACTTTTTGGCTCTGAAAATCAGTTGCACATGTAGTCACAGCTAAATTTTAAGACTATTTTTAACGAAGATTTTGTCTAAAATGTCCCGTTAAGTTTTCCTACTATTCGTGTATTTTCAAAAATAATTCTTGGTCGAATTTTTTAAATCTGTCCTTATTTAATCATTGAGACCAAAGTTTGGGCTAATGAGTTCACCCGTTTCCTCGCCAACTGAGTCTGTTCCACTGGCTCTCAGATAATTTTGATAACGCAGTATTCTTCTCGTGTTTGTACCACAGGTTGGAAGAAGTAATGACTCAAGTGTTTTTGAACTTAAAAAACTTCATTAATGGGAACCAAGTGTGTCCCTTCTTCAAATGAGTCATCTTCGCTTCTTCCCATCCATTTCACATAGGCCTCCGCTTAGTAGATGTAGTGGAGATGCAATCAGCGCCTAAGGCTAACCGTCTCAAAACTCAATCATTTTTTACATCTTTTCTTCTTAAGCCATTTTCAAGATTTCTCATCAGCACTAATGTGTTTATAATCTGCGTTCTGAATTGCATGACCAAAGATGCTAATTGCAGGAAGCGAATATACCAGGCATCAGGATGTGCAACACAAGTGCTTTGTTTTCAACACAATGGTCCAGTTATTTCCAAATTTCTTCAAGATTTTTTCAAAGGGGCTGCTCAATCTACACACCCATTTCGTTTAGCGTGGCTCTTATTGCCCGACTGTTGCTAAGCAAGCGAATCGTCAGTCAATTAGAACTAGCCACATGATGTAGCTAGAGGCCGTAAATCGTTACTACCTTCCTTTATGCAAAAAAAATTGACGTAAGGCTTACGTTTTTTATTTTTGGAATGGCTTTTTGGACTTCTTAAATGGAAATACCTGTGCACTTCATAGTCTTTTCATTTCCTTTTGGACATTTGCTATCGCGCTACTCCCTTATTCAAAAGCCACCTTCGCCTCCCCATCCGCTCTTCTGTCGAGACTCCTGCCTCTTCGGGATTGGACGGTTACTTTTAAGCCACGGTAATTAGCGTAGGGAAAGTTGCTCCTTCAAATTTAACACCCAACTTTGTAGACAATTCAATCATCGCTGTATTTAAATGCGGTGTTAGGGGAAAGTGGGTGTTGAAATTGGCTTCAAAATCTGACAAAAACGTTCGTATTAGTGCCATTCCAGGCTCTGTACTTCCTTTTTGCCATGGTAACTCAATGATTATTTTTAATGAGGTAGATGGTTAACTTGACGACACTTACTTCCAAGGGGAGGAGAGGGATGTAATGAAATGATACATTTTCTTCCCTCCATATTAGCTACCTTCCCCAGCAGCTTTGGCGGTTTTCCGACCAGTGATAGAGCTTCAGTGTCGCATCGCCATGCAAAAAGCTCAGTCGCCACTACAGGCACCACCGAGGCTCCTACCGCTACCACATCCACTACCAATGCAGGGGTAGCGTCGCCCCGATCCCGCAAGTCATTGCGTCATCGACTTAAGAAGACTTCAGTCATCTCCGTCGATGCTCTCCGCCGTCCAAATTTTAATCGCACTGTTCGTCGGCATACTCGTCGCATTCTCGCCGGATTTACTTCTGACCCTACCAATGTGTCAAATATCGGTACTACAGCCGCACCTGCTGATTCCTCTACCCATTCTTCCTCCTCTGCCACCGCCACCACAGCAAAGTCATGCAGCACCACCGCATCGATCCCATCATCATTGTCTGCCTCAGAGAAGGTTCCTGCAATTGGAACGCACATGGCCAGTCTAGCGGCCGTTTTGGAGACTCTGCTGCTGGGTCTCTACAACACTTACGCGCGTCGGCTTGCAACATCACGAAGTTGGGGAAATTTATACTCTTCGTTGCCAACATTTGCTTCCGGATCAGTGTTCTGTGGGCCGTTAGATATCATGAAATCAATGGAAGAACACGAAATGGAGATGGTTAGGAGTTTTCTTCACCTCTTCCCCAACAGGAGTTCTACCGCAGTGAGTTGCGCTTTTAATTATTTTATGGTAGAAGTAATTCAATTGGTCATCTCTGCTAATTTCCGATTGAGAGATTATAAAATTCGGTTTGTCTTTAAGTTCACTGTTTTTGGATTTCTTTATCAATTGAAACCGAGTATGGAAATAAATAAAATGCCGCAGCTACCCAATTCTGCCATCAAAGTGGCTCCGCGCAGAAAAATTGTATTGATCAGTAGACCCGTGAAATGAGTGGAATAATCATTTGCGCCGCGTGCGGCCAAAAGACGCTGTTCTTTGTAGTAGTCATGACTCTCTGAAGCCAGGCTCATCCGTAGAGCATATGTTTTGCCGTTTTTAACATTTTAGATTTTAATAAATGTTGCTACTGAGGAATGCCTTCGAAATGCTGAGTAGGTAATGGATATGTTTCATGTTGACATTATCAAGACCATCTTTGATGATCTGGTCACTAGTTGAGCGTTTATTTTCCTTTGACGTTGGCATACAGCCCTCTGTGAAAGCTATACGGTGAATGTGCGAACAGTGTCCTTTTATTCTTCATGACCGTTCGACATGGGTCTCTGTATATCTCTATCTTTGTTAGGTATAATCGTTAATTAACATCTTGTGAAGACACTTTTGTTAGCAGCATTTTTTACTTTGTCTGATAATGTCCATAATATCCTGGAACCTTCTCTACTATGCATAATTAATTGCTGTTTTGCGTGTGGAGAACTGTCCATGTTCCCTCCGATCATCATCCAGGACAGAATATTGAATTATGTGTCCTAAGGCTGTAGCTGCAGGCGAGGACGGTTGTAAAGAAGCAACCATCGAGGAATTCGATCCCTAAACGAATTTTTATTGATGCCTCAGGCTTATTGAACTGACGAGTCTGAATTTGCCATTGGCGGTTCTGTCCATCGTATTGTTGGTACTGCAGCGTAGCAGCGATCAAATTACACATTAAAATTCCTAGTCCTCATGGAATCGGTGAATTTTACTATGGAAGGTCACCCCGTACTTCTCCTCGTCTAATTGCGTGTGTATTACATGTCTCCAAGCCTTCCACCCTCTTCATCTACTTGTGCCTTGAGGAACAAAATGCTCATTGCTTTCCAACATATGCTGATTTGTCGATCAGCTGAAGATTAAAGTCAAAGGTGATGGAATGCATTCACAGGAGAGTAGTTAAAAATGGACGCAAAAGGTTGGGTGTAGCCGTTTTCCTAGTAGAAATGAGCAATACAATCTTACTTATAGCAAATCAGTTTCGCATTCACGTAACTTCATATGCTTTGCATTGCGTTCACAAACTCAAGCGGAAGTTTACGAAACCGGAATTGAAATCTTCTCAAAATAGGCAATTCCGAAGATTGAGCGAAAGTCTTTAAGGCGTCCAGAACGTTGCAAAACTTTTCAGTTCCCAAAACGCCAAGGCCAAAATAAATACGTTTAAGAAATTGGACCTTCTTTCGACTTTTTGTCAATGAAAGTTATGATGAAACGGAAACTGTCATCTGAAAATTGCCTTGATCAGTCGCGTAAGAGAAATGTAACTGTTTTGGTACCTGCCCCATGTTCATCTGTCAGTTTTAGCCTGTTTTCATATCCTAAGGTATCGGGAAAGGAGCTGATGAACGAGTTTTAAGCTTGCCTGCCTTACAAAAAGATAAGTGATGAAACCTTCAGTCACATTTCCTGTGTAGTAATGGCAATGTTCCTTTAAATTAATCAAAGGCCAAACTAGTTTAGCTTCCTTGCACTAACGGGTGATGAAAAACTTCAAAGAGCGGGACTTTCTTGTTTACCTTCTTTCTCATCCATTCCTCGTAAGCTTAAAGTACTCTTTTGATTGATGTCTCGTTGTTGAATCGGAACGCGGTTTTCGTTTCACAATATTAAGCAAGGAAGCGCATCATTAGTTATCGCTAAGCCCACAAATCACCACATCCGATCCGCATCTCTGAGATAGGCACCACTTCATGGCCAGAACAATAAAGCCGAGGGCGAAAATTCCCACTAGAACCTAACACTCGCTATATCTGAGGTCTTTCCACCTCACGCAAGTGGATACAACGCAGTGTAGGGGCAACATATATTGAGAATGACCAAAATTTTATAATTAGAAGGAGGTGTACTCTCTAAGATACAAGGCAGCATCTTAGCCGACGCATGGGTGGACTTGCACTTTATTTGGAATGGGAGGGATTGGAGAAATGAGACAGTTCTTAGCCTCATCGTCTACATTCTCATCGTGGGCATAGATTGATTATGCCAACTTGAGTCAAAAAGGTGAATCTGTAATCGGATTTTTGATGGCAGAGGACCATGGATTCGGGTTGTAGCTGCGATTGCATATAGGTTTTGTCACTTGAATGTTTCCACTTATTACTACCCGCAGTTTTACGCAAATCATCCCCAAACTATCGGCAAGATTCTTCAGAATAATTGTTTGATTGAAGAATTAGGCGTTCGCTAGGCTCTTAGGAAAGTTTATTAATCTCTTGCTGAGCAATAACAAATTATTACTTTTCTCAATTTCTAATAAGCACGCCGCAGAACAGTTTGAGTTAACAGCGTGCAATCGCTGGAGGGTGTTGTGCCTTCTTTGCCGTCTCTCCACGGAGCGGATTGATGACCTCTCCGACAGGGGTCGTGAAGCTCTCTGTCACTTAGCCCTACTACTAGGTCCACGTGGCCTCCACGAGTATCGCTTCCCACCACCCGTCGCTACTGCCACCACTGACGCTTCCTCTCCACGTCGCCGCCGCTCGCGGTGGAGTCGCTTCGCCCGTCACCATCACCATCGGCGACACAGTAGAGGTGCGCGACATCCGTCGTCACCGACAGAGCCACGAGCATCTACGCCACTACGTGCTTCGCAATACCAAAGTGATCGTGTCATTGCTGCTGCTGCTCGGCTTGACCTCGCTCGCATTGCGGCGCCCCTTCGTTCTGTAGTTGCTGCGCAGCAAGGCGGAACATCGGCCAGCACGGGCATGCAACCATCATTTAATCTGGTTGGGTGGGTGCTTGCCTCCCTTACCTCTGCAAGAAATTGCGATATTAATAGATGTGATGGAGAATATGAGGTTTTTGCATCGCTCAATGGGGATTACTTCCAGAACTCTATTTTTGAGTCTCTATCTGATAGATGTCTGCGCTTGCAAAATTCATTTTATGGTCTCATTGGGTGACATTGAGGTCTTTGAATTGCAAAGCACAAATCAAGCTGAAACAAGCTATGAGAGGTACCTCGTTGTGTCTTATTAAGATTTCCCTATCAATGCTGAATGTTGAGTTTTAGGCACTTTAAGCAAGAAGTTTCTCTTGCATCCACTTGTGCGGGATGAACAATCCTCAGATCTGGTCAACTCTTGGCCTTCGGCTTGCCACATATGCAGTCTCAAGCTAAACCGCGTACAAAAGGTGGGGCTTGTGTTCTGGGCATGTATTGATGTCTACCTCAGGGATGAGGATCGAATGGGGATCACAAGGTTTGGCGACAGCGAATAGTTTCTTGATTCCAATTCTGCACAGCAGAAGTCAATCTAAAATTCAAGTCAAATTTTAGTGGAAGATATTAAAAGGAGCTAACATATAAGTCTGCCATTTTTGGCATACTGTTTGATTTTTCTTGAATTCATTTTAAACTCCACTGACGTAGGTTGAGCCTAATTATTCCCCTACCGCTTAAGGGTAACCAAAATTCTTGACTAGGGAAAAATTAAGTTTTAATCCTTTACACTCGATGCTTTGTTGCGATTTAATTTTAAGCAACTTTGTTGGCAGTCTCCTGTTTGAATACTCTACATCAGGTCTAAGAAGAAGCTTCTTTAGTGATGAAATTCATATGATCTGGGTCCTTGAACCAGTAGATGACGTATTATGCGGGTACGGAGTAGCAAGATCACTGGGGCTGCAATAAGGGTCACCGTTCTGTTGAAGTGGTGTGAACGACTTCATAGTGTATGTAAACAGACTCGTGTACTTAGCAATTCGAAGGAAGGCATTTCAGTGACCTCTTTGCCCAAAATCACGCAAAGTTTATTTAATGATCGACGCCTTACAACTTTACATGTCTCACATTGTCGTTGCTCGATGGTGTGTTGCTTTTAGATGAGGGATCATTAATAAAGTTGAATCATTTCTCGACTGGTCTTGTGATCCATTCATCGCCTCTTTATTATCCTTATGCGTATGCATACATGTGTATTTGTTGGGTATTCGTAGGCTTTGCCTCTTTAAAACTCGTTCTGATTCCCTACGTTGTAGCGGCAAAATCAATTTTTATCACCCCAGAATTGATTAATATTTCAACAAGACGTCTCCAAAAACAAGTGCACAGTTGCTGCTGGGTTCTCAAAGGACTCAACCAACGCTTGTATACTATTTGTCATTGATTTTCAAAGCACATTATCAATTTCTACTGGAATCCCATTCATTCTTTTTTTCAGACAATGTGATAGCAAGGACACTGCTTCGGTAGATATGAAGAAGAAAAGTGAGGAGGACGACAGTGACAATGATCCTGATTTGAGTGCCTCGCAAACTCCAACCAGTTCGATAAACACTGACAGCAGTAATGGGACGAGCGCGGAGACAGGCAGTAATGCGTCCGTCTGCTCCGATGATTACGTAAACGATGACGCTTTCGACGCCAGCTTTTCGATTCTTGACGAGGAAGAAGGAGAGGAGAATAGCTACGTGGACGACGAAGATAGGGAGTATGAGAACGAGGAGGACGAAGTCTCCGACCATCATTCTCCATTGCCAGTTAACGGTGTGCTTGAAACCGAATTCAATCGCAACGCTCTGAACGTGGACAGTGAAGGAACAGGAGTAAGTTATAATATACGGATTTCCAGTTCATCTAGGTTGATGTTGTCTTTAAGTCTGTACCATTCCCAAAGAGCGTTTCCTTTATGCACCTTGTGAATGGCAGAATTTGTGTTCGTCATAAAAGGTGCACTTTTTGATGTTACTTATTAGGGATTCGTGAGGCCATTTGACGCATTGCATGGCAGTTTATGCGACATTATCATTGCCAAAATCGCGTGAATTTCAGGGACGACTTAGTGTTTTCAGGCCTTACTTACAAAACTGGTGTGGATGTGGAACTCATCAGTGTTCCGGTAGGCATTGTCTGGTACATAGCTGTATTGTAGTCATGAGATCGGAGAGAGAGTAACAGTCTACTTTGAAATAAACTAATTATGTGAATGGCATAAAGACGAGGCAAGTTTTTACTCGGCTTTTATTTAAATCGAATCCATTATGGCTAAGTATTCTGATTTGATTTGAAACTTTCAAGGTTTTACACGCAAACCACCGCTACATCAAATGGTTAAGTGACTGAATTACTTGTGAAGCTGTCGATATTTTGAAAGCCGTGCAATTTTCCTTCCCATACTTCCAGTGGTAAATTGGCGGCAGCCCATTTTCTTACTCAAGGAAACAAATTTCCTGTTCACAAATTACGATTCTTCGCATTCAGGTCAACACTTCAATTTTGATAGCAACGAAGGCTTGCATGTAACTATTATCAATTCCGAAGTATTTCGTGGTTGGTGTCAAGTACTGGGTAGAAACGTCATCGGTAACACTCCACTGATCTGTTCTTCACTCTATAGTTGCAGACTTTGCTTCACTCCCTTGAGTCAGAAGAGGAAGAATAGATCTCTCTCTTACTTCATTCGTAATTCCTCTAAAGTTCCCTAAGTCTTTACTACTGATTCTATTAGCAAATTGCATAACACAAAATCGAGCAAACGGTGAAAGTGAAGAAGGGAGGAAGAAACGGGTGGAGGCAAGTTAATTTCTGTCACTCCAAGAAACAAAAGCCATTTCTGAAAAGGACCATGAATTGCGCTAATGGTGTTGTCAGCCAAGAGAAAACTTTCAGTTTTGTCTCGACATTTTTCGCCCTTCCTGAATAATTTGATGGCACTTAGTCGTGCCTACGCGAAATGCGATGATGCTGCAATTTGTTCTTCACTTTACTTTCCCGACACTGCCTCGTTTTGACTTGGGAAATCGCATTCGCTGCATTTCACTCCATTGCTTCCTGGTAAGGTGCAAATTTCACCTTTTGTACCTACTACTGTGCATCACTGGTCCCATAACTTTCGGTTATTTTTGAATCTAGCTACCACCATGGGAGGGTAGAAGTACGGTGGTTTGGAACATGGAAGGTTGCCTTATTTTTGAAGAAACAGTGAGGACTTCTCTGAAGCTGTTACTGTACCCTCTAAGCATGGCTATTAAGTCCTCTGCTGACTGTTTTCTTTGAGTTACTTTGCTGCAGCTCCGGCATGGCGATGGATACGCCCCTTTTGTTCTGTAGGCGCCGTATCTATTGAACTTTAAATTCCTTCCTCAAATATTTTTCTCCAATTTTAATGGTACGCCCGCAACACCCGTATTTTACGAGCTTGCTTCCTGTTCTTGCAGATATTCCTAACTCACCTCTCTTGGAAAGTGTCAGTACATAGCATTCTAGTGCTCCAAAATATCCGAGCTTTGAAAGAGCTCGCCGCGACCCCTTTTTGACTGTTTACATATGCTGTGCATCAGGTAGAACTACTGTAAGACGTTGTGTTCTATGCTCGCATTTCACATGATGAGGCATTTGGATGTTGGATGTTAACAGTCTACGATAAAGGTCTCATTTTTTAGCCTCCAAAAGCGGAAGTGGACGAAACTTTCACTAACGCGCAAAGCATCTTGGAAGACTGTGAACCTGTTGATATCAACGATGGTGATGATGATGCTGTCACTGCGAACAGCCACTCCTCCTGCACTCTAGATCCTCTTCATAAACAGAAATCACAACAGCAGTCATTGGAGCAGCTACTACATCAACAAGAGTCTCATACAACTACTGCACCTATGCCACGGATAAGTGATGTTGGCGAGCGAAAGACATCGAGGCGCCGTCAATTTCACGGTTTAGGACGTAGTAGTGGGGGTGAAAAGGAGAGACACGCGAGAACAGGAATGGTTGGAGTGTTTATGGGGTCGGTACGAATACCCCGACTACCGGCACAATTCGCTCTCGACCTACTGCCAGGTCTGCACTTTGCTCTCACCACAGCACAGTCGCGTCTAGCTGCCACTGCTATCGATTCTCTCGCTCGACGAGCCGATTTAGAACTTTGGTCCAATGTATGTGACTTTGTTGTCTCTGTGCCTTTCCCATGATTAAGGCATATTTGAGCCAACTACAGTCTTGTCTCGGCGTGCATTTGTTCTTTTTTTTTGTTACAGGTCCTTCTCTACACCAACAGTATTCGCAACAGTAAGGCGTATGTTGACGCCGCTACCGCTTCACTTGATCAAAACTGCATCGTAGTGTCGGTGGGTCAGAGCAACCAATCAAATGGTTCGGTAACCCTGCGAGGTCTCTCACCCGGCGCCTCGCGCGCCTCATCCGTCACTGGCTCTGGCACCTCATCCACACTGGAAGAGCAGCGCTACCCAGCATCTCCAGTGACAGTAATCAAGACATCTCGGCAACCCAGACAACCAATGGCTATTACGAATGCTTCATTCCATGTTGTTCGGCCAGAGGAGGATATTCCGCCAATGAAGACTGAAGGACGCATTAATAGTGATGTCAATAAGAACCCTGGCGTTTCCAATCCGCCTCCTCCACTATTACTATCGACGTCTCCCTACCATACTAGGGAGGCAAGCCCACTACGTAGACTCCATCCACGTTCAAAGAGCCTTTCGCCACGGTACAAGGAGGCGGAGTTGTCGCTTCCCTCACGAGGTTTCTTGCGACTTAATTGTGCTGGCTGCAGCACCTCAAAGCCGCTTGTGAGGCAGCGCGCACTGTCTTTCAATCCTAGGGTGAGGTATCCCTTCATTTCTAATGTCTTCTTTCATGCCTCACTTCGAGGAGTCGCTGAGAAGGCAAAAGTGCCCATGTTGAGGTGTAGCTTCTCCCCTGTGTTAAAGGAACTGCGTATCGTATTAGCATGCTTTGAGATTAAGGTCTCACGAACCTTTATTCGTGTTGGACGTGAGCTATAGTGGGTAAAAAATTAAATCGGTTTTCTCATGCATTAGCGATAACATTAGGCTCCAAAATCCCTTTCGGTGCACTGTAAACACTCAATGTGATCGGATTTACCATCCCACCAGCTTTCGGTAAGAAAATGCTTTCTCTCTTTCACCACCATAAGAACAACCGTATTGTTCATCCCAATTATTATAATGGCCTCAATTGGTCCTAAAAAGACCTTTTCGTTTTTATTTCCCGAGGCAAACATATTATGTCAGGGTGAAATTTAAGCAATTTTTCCCTGTTCAGAAAGATCCATATGCCTTTTTTTTCTATTTTTATAGTTGTGCAGTGCTCTTCGAAATAGCAGGTCAAAAAGTCCCTACCATTTGAAGGTCACATTTGCCGACGAGTCGGGGATCGATCGAAGAGAGGTTTTATCACCCCCAGTACCAACACCATTGCTAACATCACCACCAACACCACGCTCCATTTGAAACATCCTCTCATTCTCCTTTCTTTCTCTTCCCTTTTCTCCCTTCCTTTCCGTCTGTTGGTGGATGTGTGGTGTGTACATTCCGTGTGACTTTATGCTTCCGACTTCCTTGCACTTCCTGTCCCACAGTTAGCACTCCGTTGCTCCACTGGCCTTCCATTTGTAAGCGCCTTCTTACAGGCGCTCTCTCTCCGAGATTTGCATTTATGGGCTGTTTTGTTGTTACCTATTTTTCTTTTCGTCGATGAAAGCATATATACTTGTATTTACAATCTTGTCTGCCTTCTGCAATCGAATCTCAGTGTTTGACGCCTCAACTCCGGTGAATGATGGGCGTGAATTTGACAAGCCGTTCTAGTTCTGCTTTCAGAGGCTACCGTGACTATCCTGGCTGGAATTCGATTCTGGCATTTAGCCAATCCATCCTACTGCTTATCAAATTGAATCTTGGGTGTTTTATATGACAGTTCTGTAATAATTAAATATTTTAGGATGTAGTTTTACTGGTGCTGGAGGTGCCTGTCTCTAAGCATGTGTATGCATGTTTTTCTTCTCGACTCTATTACCTCAGTGTCGGAAAGTGCCTTTCCGGAGGTTTGGTAATCACAGGTGGAGGTGGGCGAAGTCCTTTATCTATACAGTGAAATTTTACGATCTAGTGATATTTGATGAAGTAGCGAAACGTGCAGGTCCTCCCAGCCTATCCTCAGACTCCTAAACCCTTAACTTCATAAGAGGGTTGGTTAGAGAATGTTTATTTTGCATCTTGTACAAAAAAGGAAAAGAATGGTATCGATGAGACAATAAGCTAACGCTAATCCCTCATGGATGTCTTCGCGTTCATCACGAACCATATCTACTGAAATTGTCGAAGATCGTTTTGGATATTCGGAGTAGGCTTCCAATAAATAAGCGAGATAAGTCGTGGCCTTTCTGAATGGTTAAAATAAATTTTGAAATTGCTGCTTTGCATTACAGAGTGCACTGTTAGGATTTATAGTCCGAGTTGGCGTGTCGCCAACAGATGGTCAAAGACTTTGGTAAACGATCTACACTTGAAATCTTCAATTCTAAAGTCGGTCAAAGCTTTCATTAGAGTTTTGCGCCAGCAAATGTTACTCTGGAGACTGGAGAAGCTAAATTAACCTCTCGGCATTTGCAGCTCATATGCTAAAGGAAAGCGAGGACTTAATATGACATACAACCAAGGGAGCGGATGATTTATTGTCACGTTCAGAGGGGCTGGAATGGGACTTGAATGTAATTGGAAATGAGGCTGCATGAAATAACCATTCAGATCTGTGGGTGAGGAAGAGATAGGATTAATTGGTAGGATAATTGTGGCTCATCGATGATGGAAGCCTCGTCAGTTACAATCTTGATGCTCTCCTTCTAATCGTTGTGCCTTTATCTGGGCAGTGTGGAAGTAATAAGTGTATGAAATTGGGGAAAAATTTGCCCAATGTGGTGCATCATTAAATAGAGGTCCACATTTTCAAAGAGGATTTATAGACATAAACTCATTACCTACTTTAGCTTACCAGTTGATAACTCGACAAACGGGTTTATTTTTCTGTCAGACCAACCTTGCTCTGTTGGGAGTTTATTGTCTTTTCTCATTCCCATCATCTGATTCCGGTACTTAATTCAAGGAAATTGTGTGATTTTACGGTGAAGTGAAGCGAGGCAAAAGTCTACAAGGGATCGAGTCAATGTGCAGAAATTAGTGCAGGATGGTGTTTTTTACTGTCAATACAATTGCTTTCCGGTACAAATACAAGTGCAAATAGAGTGTGAACTAATGACTCGGAGTTTCCGGGTATTAGCTTGGAGGCGATAAACTTTAAGAGCAACGAAGCACATTTCATAAAGGGCTTATTCTGACTTATTATAGGTAATGACACCAATAGATTAAAATTTTTTGTCAAATTATACTTAAAACATCTGCAACTGCATCGAGGACATGAGCGTTAGGATGACGTTAAATAGGTGGATTTTAATCTCAATTATTACTGAAAGCTTGGATTAGGGAGCTTGTAAAAATGACAATTTTTTAACAGATCCCTACGAACAGCCATGAACAAAACACATCCTCCAACAACCGCAAAATTCAAGGGATTAAAGAAGGTCTTTGAGCGCACTTTTTTGCTGATTTAGAGCCTTCTTAATATGACGTTAAAGTGTGGCTTCAGTTTTCCTCTTTCATTTAAGGAAAAATGAAAACCACTAAAGTTTTTGCTCGCTTTTAAAGGAACCTGTGTGCACTTTGGATCCTCAGTTATTTTTTTGTTCTTGACAGTTCATTATGAAAATCATTATCTTCTCAATTTCAAGTTAAATCAACCACATTATTGCATTCTACCAGTCGAGGATCCATGAATCTCCATTGCAAATTCCTCTTGTCGACGCTTTCTAGGCTGCATGGAATATGACAATAGCCGGACGTGGAATTGGACATCGTGCCATTTCAACTAATTGTAGTAGGCATTAAGCAGAATTGAGCAAGAAGGGGTGTCAAACAAGTGTCTCTTTCTTCTCAAGCCTTTTTATCTCTAAAAACAAGTTGAGTGACATTTCCAAGTTTTCTCGTGACCTCAAACCAGGGCGTACTTACTATCAACTTCTAAAACCAAACAAACATACATCCAACGAATCAGACGCAGAAAAAGACTTGCTATCTACAGCCGCACACTTCAACAGCATCCATGCATCAACAACCTTCAATCGTTCCCAATAACTACTTTAATGTGTAAAATATGATCCTGTCGGTGAAAGTGGAAGCAGTCCGCGCCTGCCTTCCATATCAAAATGCCTTAACATGAAGTGAATAAACCTGAGTACTTTGTAATCAGAGAAGTTAATTTTTTAAAGAACTGCATGGATGTTCGTTGGTAGGGAGGTTAGGCGTGGTAGGAATCGCGTTTGATTTATTTGGTAGAAATAAAGGACTTTTCGATGACTTCGACAACCCTTTTTTACCTAACTTATTAAAAACCAAAGTGTAACAAATATGGAGGAGTAACGTGCACAAAAACCTTTATTATCGAAAGCATAGCACTCCCACTTGTTGTGGTAAAAATTTCTCTTAAGATGGAGTTCGGAACTTTAATAAAGTGGAGGCTGACTTCTGTGTGTTTCAGATACCTCCAGTTCTGCCTCTCTTTGTAACTAAGTCCTTCCTGGTCTTTGTTTGTCTTTTACGTTTTACCAAACAATTCCACTCACAAGTTAAAAGTAGTTAACTTATCTACCGTAAAAGCAAGTGTGTAATCAAACGTTTCTACGAATCAAAATCCTGTAAGTTCCCCATAAAATTTAAGAATTCGTTCCATCTTTGTCATCTCAAACGTTGTCCTCACTGTACCGCATTCCTGTTCCAGACCCTCAAAGCTCTTACCATTGGCTAGTCTTCATACAATTCTGTACTTTGAATCTTCCTGATTCAGGACTTCAATTAGCAATCGATTTCAATCATAAAGAGACAGTCTCCTCAAAATAGCGGTAAATGGCAAGCATGTCCAAAGCACAACTGCAAACTTAGGCGACTTGATCTGAAGTCCTCACCCAATGACTTGTTTAAAGGAATCAGCTTCGTTAGCATTTTTGGTCGCCTTGATTTGCATACATTAAGGTTAAACCGATGAATGTTTTTGAGACTACGCCTTCGTTTTATTTGAGGATAAGGATGGATTTCCAGATCCCTTTTCGATGACATATCAGTCATGCTCCCTCAAATGTCTTTTGATAATCCTCTGGTTACTGCATTAATTCAACTGCCAAAATGCTCGCGTGGGATAACGCTTGGCACTTCATCAAGCAGACCAAGTGGAAATGGTGAGCACTCTAAATGATACTTGTTTTGTGACTAACGCTATCCAGCTCGATGGCTGTTTGTCATGGGACTCTACTTCGGTGCTTATGCCATATCAGAGAGGCTGAGTGCGACATGGCAAATCACCAGTCCAACACTTGGATAAAGTAAAATCCCCATAGCAGCCTTAGCGATCAGCGTTTTTTGTGGAATAGTTTACCAAACTGTGTTTCACCTGGAAGGGCATTTCAAGGCTTTCCATTTGCATAAATTTCAAATAGCCGCACCATTCGTCAGAGGAATGTCATAAACCCGACTTTTGTGCATTCTACCTGGACCCTCTTAAGAATATCCACAAAGGTTAAACAAATGTCGCAGATCTTTCTAACAGAAGGTCCACCTCAAATGAAGCAGCTGAAGGTGCTGCTTCGAACCTTCAGTTACAGAGGCTCCAAGTTCTCTGCTGTCAGCATGCGCCTACCCAGTTTTGCCTCCGATTGTTTTAATCTTGTCATAATGAGCATAAAAGGTTTGTTGACTCTGCCTTGCAAATACTTCGAGTAAGATAATGAGTAATACCAAACGAATTCATTCGATATCGGCAATCACCACTTATAGCAATAATGGAATGCACACCATATTCTGTTACAAGGTCATAATTAAATCCCAGACACAAGCATCATAGGCTCAAACAATAAAATCAAACCAGTTCCTTAAGGTTGCGGTTCAATTGGTAACTGAAATGTCATCACTTGATCAGTAAATAACCTTTATACAGAAATCATATTTATTGCTCACCGGAAGCAACATTTGCATTAATCACCGCAATTTAAGTACATTTGAGGTATGGTTTGTACGGTTGTTAAACTAATGAACATACTGGTAACCACCTCCCAGCAACAGTCTTCATAATCTCCAGAATACTATGATCATTACTTATTTCGTCACTACCCATTACTCTCAACTATTCTGATGCAGTGCCAGAAAAACTGGCAATTTCGGACTTATTTGTTTCCCAAACGTTAACACTTTGGCACCACTTTTCGAGAGGGTATTAAATGCGACAGACAAGTGTTCCCCTGTGCTGTGAGTGTATAATTAATTTTTGAGTGGCAAACTCCTCACAGAGAAACGATGACCGAGATTGCATCCTCAAAGTGGTACAACTGTCGACTGTGAACTGCGAAGAAGGGCTGAAGCGTAAATAATCCGATTGCAAGGGTGTTGTCAATTTCCTCATGTCATTACAGTAGTCGGATGGAGAAGGCCAGTCATCCTATTTCCATTTTATCCTTTCGCCACGTAACACATGTCCTGTTTTAAATCTTTCGGTACGCAGAAGTAGAAGTTGTTAGAAGATCTGAAAGTAGTAATAAAAGTCGGGTTAAAGTAGGCCAAAATGATGCTTTCTACCGAACTCTGAAGTGAAACCACAGAGTCAATTATCAGTCCTAGCAGCTAATTTATCTCGCAAATAGTTTATCCTGCAAAATAACGCAGCCAAAATATAAGCTAAAGGGCTTTCGTATTTTGCGTTGAAGAGCATATTGGAAGCTTCAGCCTCTGTTTACTGCACATCAATGTACGGCAAAGGATTAGGCCGCTGAGGACTCTGCCTCATTCTGAAGCGTTGATGCACCAAAAGTTTTTCTAGTGCTGCCTCTCGATATTGCCTGTTTCGTGTAATTAAAATTAAGGCAATGTTATTGGAATATGATGGATGGCAGTCGTCAATTTGAAGAACACACAGTTTTGGTAATAAGAGGAAGAGTGAAAGGGTAGTGAGTTTTACCCATCGTGCGGTCAAACTTAAGTCAGTTTTGATACAGTGTGTGGATTGCTTTGTTTGGGATCACCTGATATCTGGCGGTTACTTTGGTATTCGTCTGGCCCTTATGCGTGTCGGCTAGCCTGTGAGTCGAGCCCAAGCTTAATCCCATTTCTCCTCCTAGAATAGATGCATCTAGCTCAACCTAATGCCTGGGTTGCTGCAGGATAAAACTAGGATAATTCTTAACTTGTTTTAAAATAGGTTAAAGGGCTTGTGAAGAGGATAATGCTGCAAAATGAACCCCTCTCTTCGCGATCTCTAGACTACGGATGGTCCAACAGCTACACGGATTTGAGTAATTAGTTAAAAGCTCAATAAGTGGGAATAGAAGTGTTCTGGAGATTACCAACCGGTAAAATGAAAGCCCTTGATCAAAAAGAAAGCCAATTGCTTCGCCTTTCGACTTAATCCACAACTTACATTAGGTCGCACAATAATAATCCAAGATCTATCCGATATCACAAAACCAGACCTATGTTTATGGATTGTTGCAGGTGAAAAAGTGAACGATGCGTTTGCAGAGGCTTTTGTGTCGTATCACGAAGTAAGTAAATGAAATCAGCGTTTTTCGACTAAAATATCAAACAGCAAGACCATATTTAACACTGTTCTAGGACCACAAAGCACTTTGCGATCCTTTACGTTCCATTGCCTCCATAAACTGAATAAGTTAAGCCCATCATCCTGCTGTGACGAAGGAAACGTAACAATAGTGAAGGAAATACTGGAATTCTAAAATGGATTTAAAGGGCGCACTCGAGAGCCACTCAAACATATATGACAATACTTGGATTCACCAAGCATGATCATGTCAGTTTAATTTCATATTTACTGTATAATGAAAGTGAGGCCGTAAAAAGGAATTAATCTACATGGTTGGTATGCTGAAACGACTTGTGCTAGCTCGACTGGGTTTGAGGCTAACGAGTCTCAATAGTCTGAAACTAACTAACTACTTATGACGCAGCTTGACGCACGCCTTTGCCAAACTCTTGCGGTCAGGTAACATGCGAAGTAAAAACACACATTAGATTCACATATAGCTTTTTCAGCCAGCTAATCATGATGGCCTTGACACATATTGATTAAATGATTACACAGGCCTGCGAAATTAGGCTTTGGATTCTATTATTAAGTGAATTTTTACTTCAGAGCTGCTCACTTGTACACATTTGGATCCTATCCATCCCTACCCTTGCATACTTTGTAGACAACTCTGTAACAAACATTTTCCAAGTATTTTAGGGCTAGCGTTATTCCCTTTTGCTAGTTGCTCTGCATGAAACCATGGGCATCGAAATATCATTTGAGCCCTCCTGCATGTTGAACTTTGGCGGTTATTTTACCACTTACATTGGCACGTCCTCCATCCTGCACATTCTGGCACATCAACGCGCAATGCCAGATGTCCATTAATGCCTATTTCGCTTCGCACTGCCCTGCATACCTGAAATAGCCTTGAACTAATTTTTTTACATTCCCCAAAGATTCCACTTATCCTAAAACAATAAACTCGGTAGCCAAAACGTGGGCCAGTTACTTTGCAAACTCCTTTTTACCTTTTAACGCAGTTCGGGTGAAGTGAGTTGAATGTCAAATGTTCTGCAGATTCTAAGCTACATTACAAGGCGCAATTTTACGCTCTATCACCCCCACACTATCTCCAAAACTACCAGACCACTTTAACAGGTGTAACAGTGGTGCCACCTTGTGTCACCCCCACGTCTTCCAACCCTCTCCTCTGATGTAATTCCTACTCTCCAATCGCATTCTTTGTGCCACCATAGCGACTTAAAACCACAGTACTAGAACCAGTAAAGCACATCAACGCTTCATTCCTTTAACATGCACTCCATCCACCTCCTTCCCGTACTGCTTCAACTGACACTGCTGCCAGTCTCCGTCTTAACTTATGGTGAGTTACATACCTCTCCATCCTTCTCACACCACTTGCACAGGCTCTACAGTAGAGTCCATCATCGATAGCATTCTTCGCGACGCACCACACTACCTGACTGCGAATTCCGTGAACACTCACGTGCAGACTGTTGACAACATAGTCCGTTCCTGCCCGCTTTACTTCGACCAGACCTTAATGCATGGGGAGACAACCTACACCTTCAGCATTTGCATTAATGCAACCGGGTTAACAATCATTCCTCCTACTTCAGCAAGTTATCCACTCTATACATCAAGTCTAAACTTGCGAAAGCAATGGAATTTATTTTCCCATTAACTAATGCCATTTTTCACTGTCCGTTTGACCTCCAGTTATTCTGACAATAACTTTTCATATTTCAGCTCCTGGATACCATAAAAATCGGAGGAATAAAGTTGGACCTTTCTATGCAAGTGAAGAACGGCGTCCGCCCAGAGGTGAAAGTGGAATTATCGGCACCAGTTTTTGATGACGTCTACGTCCAGAAGTGGTTTATTTTCATCCCTGCTGGATATTTGAAAAGTAAAATAATCAGCGAAGCCAAGAAATTAATTGAAAGGGAACTTCAGTCCTTTGTAGCTTCCCTCCGGTGACACATTCCAAGTCCACTCCATCATACAATTTCCCCAAACATCCGCTCATCTCATCTTTGCTTGTAAGTTCACTTCACTTCCACTTCCACCCGTCTCTACCACAATCACTGCACCTCCACTGCAACTCAACTAACCTCCCCCGCATGCTCTTACACGTCACATGCCGTTGGAAGCAATGCAACCGCATATGTAGTGACTTTCACCATACATTCCTCTCCTCGTGCTTTCATGGGCCGTGTACTGGGCAGAGACTAAGGAGCTAATCCCTTCCTGTGGGCCGAGACTCCACCAAGTGCTAAAGCTGCAACATCACGACTGGTCAATTGCAAGCTGACGATACTAAAATGTCACATTTTCTCTATAAAACTGCATAAATGGGAAATAGGTGACCCACACCCGCCAACTTGATTTGGGATTGTTTACCACTGCAAATGTGGCACGAACTCTAATTTTGTGGTACTTGTGTAATATGCGTATTGGCCTAAAACAAGCTATTCTACGACCATTGGTTTGCATGCGGGGGAGGATATTCTACAGCTTCCAGGACTATTGCTTGAATGAACACATCCACGGTGCAGTTCGCAACGCATAGCTTAATATGTTCCACCTTACTGCGCATCAAAATAGGCAAACCGCCAAAACAGATATTCGATGAGTATGCATTTGTTGGGGAGATCACTGACAGCCAAGGGTGCAATTAGTCAACATTGCGTGTGAGCACATTCGGCACATTTTCCGATCCAAAAGTGGTAAAGAATTTCATGGAAATTTAGATGACCATGCAAAAACCAATGGAATCCTTGACTCCATTTGACAATCGACGAAAACACCCAAACTCAGAAGTGAGTAACCGTGCCCGCTTAAGTGCCATGGAAGTAAAGCCTTCTGAGGCTGCCCAAAAGCGGCGCCACTGGGAACAGCCATCAGTGCCGCCGATTAGTTGCTGCAGACACATGGATCTCAATCCTACCCGCCAAAGATCTACTTCAATGAACAATACATTCATTACAAAATGAATTCACAACGCGATATGTCATCCAACAGTATTATGATTGGTACGGAGAATTCCCTTCTTCATCAAACACGATTCTCGTTGGTTTTGGCAGTCCATTATCCACCACCGCTGGTGCAGTCAGCTTTTGAGGCTGAGATGGTCGATAGTGTTGTTGATTCACTTTTCTCCGGCGTTTAGCCACTTGCACCCTCCGCCGACGCTCAGCACCACCTGCCTTTGCAGCGGCAATAGTAGCGCAGTACGCACGCTCTCTCTGACCTTCAAGTACACTGCCCCAGGCAAAACACCCACCACTACTGTCACCGCCGTTTCCTATAGTGCAGTGGGATAGGAGACAGGCGAAGGTGCGCGCTTCTGTAGCCTCGCGAAAGCGCACGAAGACGCGAACGATTGCGCCATATTGGGAGGTGGAGGGAATGGAGACGTGATCCGTCCCTTCGCCTATTTCTTCCAGGGGCTGCAGGTTGTCACATGGTTTGGTGTCAAAGTGAGCTACTGAGCGTAGAAGACGGTGTGGTTGTAGTATACTGTGCTCTATGGCAGCACGCACCCGACGCATCTGCTGTCGTGGATCCAATTGTCGCAACTCCTCGTCCAACGGCCAATACACCTTCGTACGGAAAGAATTGATTTTGATAAAATTTAAGTCACTTGAAAAGTAAAATTGATGGTAAGTACCTAACAGCGCCCATATTACACACTAATTTCGCACCAAAAACAGTGCTCAATATAAACTACCATTGCGACTCAGTCAACAGGATGAACCTCCCAAAAAAAGCATCACAAGGGAATTACTTTGCCATTACATTAACACATTAGACAAGCGCCTCCAATTATTGCAATCGTCATGGCCAATATGAATTTCAAACCCTTGGCTTCAGGAATGCGCAATCCTTCCTTCCTAAGGGAAACGCTAAAAAAACTCCAAATTCGATCTCGAGTATTTCAGCGGATAGAGAGCCGACTCAATAACTCGATGTGATTTCAGAAACCCACCTCAACGACAGTTCCGGGGCAAAAGTCACCAGGCAACGCCAAAATCTGAGACTTATCTTCTTCCAATACAGACACCACCCCCTCCGCCATCGGAGGTGAAATCACGGCGGTTCTAGCGGTAGAAGTTGACGTCTCGATATGGCAGTCATCAGGCAGGTGGAGCATGGATGCCCGGCGTTTTCGCTCCGCACATGCGATAAGCCGGTCAGCCCTCTTCCGCATGCGCCCGGTCCAGGCCCGCAGCCATGCATAGAACCGCGGCCGCCAAGTCAACCAATCGAGGTAAGGCAGAAGGCGCAGCTCTTTACCCCTCACTATCCCCACACCTGTCTCTGTGCCTTCAGTGATTAATCGATCTAAAGTGAGATGGGCGTATCAACTGACGCTCCCTGTCAAGAAGCGTAGTAAAATGGAAAGAGGGGTCATAAGAACCATAAAATAGTGAAGAATACGAATGTCCTTAGACAAAAATAGCTAGATACCATGTTCACAAGCCAGATTACTAAATCGCAAAATGGAAGCGGTGGTTAACCATCCCAACGGCCGATGCCAAACAGCAGAGGAGTCTGATAACCCAGATGATGATTAGGTATCAATTTTCCCATACACAAAGAACCTGCCTTGGGCTACGCACGCAAGGCTTCAACTTCCACAATGAAGTACTCTAGGTTATACGAGAGGTGTTAGAAAAGATGTAATCATTTAGCTCTTTTGGACGATTGCATATATTGGCCATCAGCATGTAATTATTTAGACCACAAAGGATCAAATCGCTAAACACCGCAGTTAATATAAAAGATTTTAACTTAAATAATGGCTTAATTATAGGGATGTGATGGGAACCTTAGAAAATTAGGCGTACAGCAGCTGAGCATCAATGTCGAACCAGTCATCTGTCGTAACGCTGCACGAGATTTCTACAAAGATTAAAATCGTACAAATCGCATCAACGCCATAGACCCTCGAACATCAATGTGATCTTCCTCGCAAGATTGAAGCCTCCTATTGTATTACCTCACCAAAGTGGAGAAACATCACCGTAGATGATTTAGCGCTTGGCTTCCACCATATCAAAGTGAACTCTCACTGGAGCAGAAGTTGCAAAAAGCCTTAGTTTTCTTCGTTAGTAACGCAAATGTGCGACCACCAAAAAGCAAGATCGTGAGGTTGAAATTTATTCATCAAAATGATTTAAAAGACGTAAACTCCAAATCCAAAGGTGAACAACTACTAATGTATCCCTCTCCAGCTCCACGAAACTTACGAATTCCGCAGCGGCATATGGACAGTTTCTAGAATGCCCACTATAACAGCACATCTTACAATGTTTGCAACCCAATGAAGCACTAATGAGTCTTCACAACAAAACTCAGGCTACACAAAGCTAAAACGCACCTTGTCCAGTACCAAAAAACTGGAATATGCATTCCACTTTTAACTCGAATGTGCCATGACATATTCCACGATGCAGTAAACATGAAAGAACAGGAATGAAGTACATTCGACATCCAATGGATTCGGCATGCGATAGCCAGCAGCAAAGAGTCTGCGGTAGACCGAGACGACCTGTTTTGATCGCCGCGAGCAGCATCGCCACACGAATTGACGCGCCAATCGTTCCTTTATGCTTAGATTCGTAGCGTATGGAGCCAACTTCGGCGTCCATCCCGCCTCCGGGGTATTGACGGCTGAAGCAAGAGAGACGACCTTCCTTCCGGCTAAAATTATAGAGACCAACTCGAGACCTCTGGACTACTACCCCAGCCTGAACACTACGACAGTGTCATAACTCCCCTGAGGCCAGTTGAGAATTTGTAAAACCAACCGTTCTCAGCCGCACCTTTGGCATTAACCATCCTACCAAACGTCAGATCACTCCTACTAGCGCTGCACTACAGCAAACTTATTTCCATAACCACAGTTTAGTAATATCAAGCGCAACAAAAAGGCATCATGAAAGAAGTGGAATATCTTCTTTCAGCACCTTTAATTTGCGCCTGGAACACTGGAGGAGTGATGAGGTTACATGGGCCTCCAAAGCAGGAATTACAAGCCGCCTTCCCCTTCCTCAATGTAACCTATTAGCGGGTCACAAATACCAGTACCAATAGATGCCTGCCAAAATGACATTTTCCGATTCGACCTCCCATGAGGTTAGAGTAATCCCAACCAATTCATTTGTGGGTTCTTACTGAGACGGCCGTTACAGTTTGGCTCAAAAGCCAATTTGAGGGTCTAAGGTGCCACATGACTTACTCGTCCATACCTCCATGAGCCCTTAAAGCAAACCTTTCTTCCAATTGAACAGTTTCGTAACAGCCATTTAATCGGGGAAAAATGGACGCTGGTTGCCGGGGCCGTAGGCTACCAAATTTAATGAAATCTTTAACGACCAATCAATCATGCTTGACTTACAGATGCTTTCCCCCAGATATGACGAACACACAAGATCCTTCTCCGTCGGCGCCAAAGCAGAGACGGCGCGTTTGGCGGCGCTTTTAGAAGCGAACTCCACAAATCCAAAGCCACGAATGTTTCCAGATGTCTTAAAGCTATGTAACAAAGCCTTTGAGATTTCTGTACTTCTTTGTAATTGAATGAAATTGTATTCAATAATTAAAATGATTGCTTCAAGAACGGCCGAATTTGTAGTTAGTGGATTCCTAAGGAGTGAAATCCAGGAGCACGAATCTAAAAATCCTTCCCAAGTATGTTCATTACCTGGGAAAGCAGCTCAAAAATTTGAGGATATTTTAAGCACCAAGGTTGCCGATGAGCGTAGTTCACTCTACATGGCATATAAATATGAGAAGTGAACCATCCACACCGTAAATATCTAGCATTACAATGTGAGTAAATTGTACAGAACAAGCAAAAACAAGAGGCAACTCAGCTAACTAAATTTGACGTGGTCGGCAAGATCAATTTCGCCAAATCCAGTTCTCGGGAAAAAAATTACGAACCAAGGTGGCAGTCGTGGTGTCCACACTTTGTGCTTTGAAATAAGCACTAGACTCGTTTGTATGTAGAATAACCTCCATTTCTTAGAAATTGAAGTTCTTTCAACACTTAGACTCACAAGGATTTCTTTACTAGATAACCTACTAGATAACCTAAGGACTCTAAAATGAAGCCGGTAGAACTTATAGATAGAAGGTTGGTATTATAGTAAAAACGCAGCTTAAAATGTCTTATTGGTACACATGGCTGAAGCAACAGCATAGATGACCCTTACCGAGGTATATTGATATACTTCACCAAACCAAACTCCTTCATTTGGTCTTTCAACCAATCAATTGTACTAGCAGACCTCATTGCAGCCATATCGACACTAAAATCATTCTCAATCTGATCGCCGTCTACAGTTGACTTGCTCTGCTCAAAATCGTCCTCATCACCTTCCTCTACTTCTTCCGCTTCTAGCTCATCGGTTCCTTGATCCATCCTCGCTTCTTCGTCTTCGATATGAGACTGAAAGCATGGGATACCGGTGACAAGGACAATGCAATCGGTGGGTGTGGACACGGAATTAATCGGCGTCTTCCTTCGAATGGCGGTGCCTGGAGACAGGGTAAATAAGGGTTAAAAGAAAACCTCACCAGACGCATTTACTTCCAGCAACTTTGATTGGTCTACTGCCGCCAACAGATGATCTCTGGTAGCCCCAAGGACTTTCAATTTGTTACAACGAAGGAGGAGATCCAGACTCAGCGAAGCGTCCGACGTCTTCTGAATCTCTGATCGAAAGAAACCGTCATGGGAGAGGTTGGCATCACTGAAGTAGAACTCAAGCTGCTTACGTATTGCTTTTGTGTCCGCGTCACCCTTTGTCGTTATCGCTGCCTGGGGAAGGGGAATGTCACAGCACTTACGAAGTCACAACCCATCACCTAGCAAATACAGTTATGACACGAGATCGGAGATCGGAACGAACAGACGCATCGATTCAGGAGAGAGAACCGACAAACGCACCCGCCTACGCAGTACTACAACGAACCATAGCTCTGAGGTATGGCCTCGTTTGTGAACTCAACCTAACGGCATACATCGATCAACTACCGACCGTAAATTACAAGCACAACTTCAAATGGCCAACGAAGAATGGAAATTCGCGATACCACGACAAGCACTCACAAACCCCATAAAGGACGAACGATGTACCAAAATCTAGCAACATGCATTTATCGGCCCAAAAATAAAAACAATGGTAAAAACTTTCTTGGTGCCATCGTAAACAGGCACAATTCGAAGCGAAACCAAGACCGCACCTTCAAGTTTGAACGATACATCGCCACCCGGCAAGGAAAAAACCCATGTAACATGGAAATCCATTTCGGAAATGAAAGATAGGAGAAAACCATTAGAAACCATCAGATCCACACCACAATGCAATGCGTATCAATGAAATTTTATACTTAAAAACAGTCACAACAAAGCGATGAGACGTAAATGTGAGTAGACAGGCGAATAAAACGAACATTCAGAATGTACATTCAGCAGATCGACGACTATTGAGAACCCGAGCGACCCCGAGAAATGCTACGTGAACGCATCGGCGACTGAGAAAAACCCTCCTCACCGCGAGACGGACTTGGTGACCTAGAACCACCCCCACGGGACGGAGATCGATCCACAGCTGATGAACGAGAATCACCTCGTCGAGCCGGGGAACTTCGAGCATCAAGACCATCGCGACTTCTAACCCCGCCACGAGAGGAGCCGCGGCTCAATTCACGCGAACTAGCTCTTGACCTAAAACAAAGTGATTGACTCAACGGACCAACTAGTCCAATTCCCTACTTAGCACAACAATTGACAACCTTACCTCCGACGTCTACCCCTCTCTTCAGCCCAGTGCCCGTTTTTTGTGCTTTCCCGGTCATCACGCCTGGTACTGTTCTCGGCATCTGCCGACCTCGAGTAGGAGCGTCCCCTCGATGACTGTCGGTAGTCATCCTGGCGACCGCCCCTGCCACTTCCGCCCCGTCGGCGACTGTAGGAATCCGAACGATCACGAGATGACCTGTCACGTCGGCGGAAGGACCGAGAGCGCGAGCGAGACCGGCTTCGCCAAGAGCGGCCACGACTGCCGCTGTCACGTGCGCGCATTTCCGCTGGAGCTATACACACACACAGGGACAGAGAAACGGGATATGGGGGGAATGCAACAACGTGTAGCGCATTGGGTGAACCAACTGGCCATTGCACTTGGTTGTACGAGCGCCTGACTGGCTGCTTTGAATTGGGTTATCTTTGACTGATGTGAGGTTTACTGGACTTTGTATTGCGTCGCAGTGATTGGAGCGAGATTGGTACAGCTGAGACTGATTTGGGAATTACTCAACGCTAGAAGAAAGTAGGTGTGCGTTAACGATGCGTTTACACTATTTTTAAGAAAATGAGAGCTAAAACGCCCTGGAATTCGACTGCGATCAGTGAAAATGGCGGTACATGTGCTAAAAGCTTGGAAGGTATAACGAAAATTCTAAACGAACGCGAGCTCGCAGTAACCACTAAAAATCCAGTAAACCAAAGCAAAACAACAGTGCGCAACAAGAGCGACTCCAACGCACTTTTCCGAGTACCCCGAGTGAACTCCACCGTAATCTCCCTCCCAGCGAAACGAGAGTGATTCATGTGGTAAATTGCGTCTTCAGCGTCACGAGCATCATCAAACGTAATAAGGAGTAAAGGAAAGTAACATGAACGCACTCAAACACGATACAAGTTCTCAGCGTATTTACTGTAAAAGGATATTCCACGAACGCGAAACCCTTCGGCCGACCTGTATGGTAGTTCACAGGTACCGTAACATCGATAACACGGCCGAATTTTCCAAAGGCGTGGCGCAGATCCTCATGACTAAAACGGAAACAACAAACCGATGCGCCACCCCTCACAAAACTAACAAATACGACAGTACTCATCTATAACCACGATAAATTTAATTCACGACGGAAGACAGTATCAAGAACACAGCAGCGACGAGAGATCTGTACTTTAGCCCACGCATGCGACCCAGGTGAACAAAGTATTAATGAATGGTTTAGATATGAATAAAAATAAATTACCGAACTCCATCAGCGAGATTCTTTATATGAACAGAAGCAACGTGCCTCGGCATCGTCAATTCAGAAGCGAAACGACTCCTGCAAGATGGTGAAAGGATCGCTGACTAAAACAAACTACATATACAAAAACTTTTGCTTGCAATATATTTAAAAAACTGACCTCTGTATCGTATTTTTGAATTTTCGTGTATCTAGCAAATGGCTTTAATAGTTTTTGACGTTTTTGTAAGCACGTGGGACGTAAATTTTAAAGTGCCCGAAATCACGCATTAACTACCTTCAACATCAGTATTAGACCATTTAAAACTAGTTTGGGTCTGCCTGACACTAAATTTAAAACAGCGTATGGTCTCTAGCGCCCTTCGCGAGACCATTCTACGGAACCCCCAAATGTCCGAACCGAGTCTGCACGACGCACAATTATTAGAACGCTGAATGCTTTTACTTGGGCAGGAGTGGCAGAAGAGACACCGTTGCACCCGACAACAGCGGAATGGGCCTCGCAGTGCCCGCCATCCATTCAAGACGTTTAATAAGCAAACCATTGTATTCTTCATTTTTCTTCATATTTGTGATTAAAGGCCATTATGTTTATCCTTGATTATATAGACAGTTTTAATGCATAGCTTTTCTGTTAATGATCGTAGCAATTCTTCTCACTATTGTGTTGCAACTTTTTATTCATTATCAGTGATAAGACGTGATGTTAAGCTCTATGATCAGCACCCCATTGTTAGCCGAAACAAACCATTTACTTATATGCCTGAGGAACTGAGGCCGCACAACCTCCAAGTAAGGTCCCTTGGATTATGACATGAGAGCAAAATTCACCTCCCGACGAAGCTCAAGGTATTACTGTTACCTTTTCTTATTATGCGTATAAATTGTGAATTGTGATGTTCTTTTGAATGTTTTGATGACTTCACAAATTGTGGACATTGCCCGCCTACGTCCACCTTACAAAATCGATCTCACATTGTTTTTTTTGATTGAAAGAGGCACGAATGGAGAATTCCATGGACAAAAAATTACTCCCCCTTGGGTCAGTTCTTTGAACTAACCATCTCGAATGATCTCACTGCGCATTCAACTGCTTTCCGAGAGCGACAAAAGCCAACTGTTGGAAGAATTCTGATGGATGTATGCTTAAAAGATGTGGAATCTTATAGTATCATTGTGAATAAGCTTGATTTCTACTTCTATACATATCGATTCCATCTTGGCCACACAAATTTTGTTTCCCACCTTGGTGGAATCTGCATGAGAGGGCCTCCTTTCTCTCCTTTAATCGAAGCATTTTTATGCTCCCTATGACTCAACGCACTTCATCCTCATACATGGCGACTTAATGTTGGAACTGCATTCTCGCCTAAGGCGGCTCTTAAGTAGTGTAATGAAATGGAGAAAAATGAATTATCGAAGAAGGAATTCGCACTATTCTCTTCTGATTAAAAGAACATGTTCAATGAGTATGTGCGTGCGTGCACTTTCTGAAGAGGTATTGCACTTCAACACTCCTTTAAGTTAGTACGCTAAGTTCCCATGACAAACTCTTCCAAATGTCACTTGTAAAAGGTGAAAAATTAATCTGAACAAAATTGCCTCTGCAAAAGTGGCACGTGGAACTTACGACTTACAGATCGGTGACAGTCACGGTCAGTGAAACTGTGACAAGGGCGTCTTGTAATTCCTCGTGCTCTTCCGTCTCAGACATTCCAGTGTTGATAATTGACTTAAACGCGGATGTGTCGTCACAAAACAGAATTGCAGTACAAATAAGCAAAATAAGTCAGCTTAAACAACTCGACGTATTTCTCCATCGCCTCAACTCCACCAAAAATGCGGATTGAAAAAGGGAACAAGTTCGAGTAAATAGTGTTGCTGTATTTACACAAACTCACGCACAAAAGAGAGATAGGAGGGATGTGTTAACAGAAGACTTAATTACTACAATAAAAATGGCGTTTCGGAAAAGAGGGGACTCAAGAATGTTGATTCTATCCATTCCTCAACTCGCCAATTTCTCCATCCAGCCATTCATCCCTAAAGCGCTGAGGTATAGATTTTCACCGCACCCACGACGACGGAAAGCTGCTAAAGTTGCAGCAGACGAATGCGAGGTAGGACTGGGATGGTGAGGTGAGGTCGGGCGGGATGGCCGAGGATCATGAAATGCTTTGTTCTCGGTGTCAATATGAACCGAGATTTCACTCGAAAAATCTCTTTTTTGGTGCTTACCAACATCAGCCTTGTCGTCACTTTAAACACTGTTAGTAATCATAACAATATTACCAGCTTCCGTTGTACATGGCAGATGGGCGCTTTTCACGTGGTAAGAGACGAGAGAAAGGGAGACAGATTCGAAAAAAAATGGGAGAAAAGATGTTTATATCACAAGTTCCGTGTTAAACGACACGGAGGAGTGGAGAGGCGCAGTCGTCTTTGGCTAATTGAATGCCGTTGGGTGGAGACCGGAGGCGGCATTTTCTGCTTGAAGGAGTGGTGGCATGCTACAGACCACGAGGTTACTATTCAATGGATCATAGGCAGTGGTTACTCCCCCACCGCTGCTAAAACCGAAGCCTCCTGACATTGAAGAGGAGGAGAGAGTTGGTTGAAGCTCCTCCAGATTGGGGGCAGTTTGGTGCTGCTGGTGCTGTTGAACCATTAAACGAGAGTTTACCGCCTCAGAGAAGAGTCCCGCGTAAGAGGCATTAAAAGACGTGGGTGTTACAACGTTGCTGCCACTACCTGTCATGTTCACATCACTCCAACCACTATAGCCGCCGCGGTAAATGGCAGGTGGTTGACTTTCTAAGGGATAAAGTGGGTAGTTCATGGACTGCATTTGTCCCCCATAGCTGTACTCAGGGTAGCCGCATGTCTGACCAGAGTAAGACGCACGAGACCACTCATTGTTAGCAATACTGCTGCCATTGTTGGTGCTATTAGCTGACAGTGGACACGTGCGTTGAGATGTACTCTGGTCAGAGACAGTGGATGTAGAGTAACCGCTGGCAGAGGTGAAGTAGCCAGAAGGCTGTCCAACTGACCAATTTGATGATGCATAGTCCCTCGATGGAGGATGAGTAGCATATGCCGACTCAGATTGATTGCCATTCCAGCTGTTGACAGAATATGGAGTGGTACCACTATCAGCAGCCGGATCAAAGGAAGGTACAACGCTGCTGCGTGGTTGAGTGAAGTCGACTCTTTCACTAACCGTAGTATGTGTTGTTGAGGAGGTGGATAACTGAAAGAGACAGCTAGAATCGGAATCATTTTGACCCTCCCAAAAGGCCAACTTGCTGGAGGATGTGTTCATGGTTGAAGCGATGGGTTGCGCAGAAACACAGCTGCGGCGTGAATTTCCATCTCCACCACCACTACCAGTGCCACCACCGCAACTACTGGATCCGGTACCTGAGCTAACCATAGAGCCAAGACCACTGCTGACTTGTGAACTGGTGGTGCTCATTTGAGCGGTTTGGTCAAGAGGCAAATGACCTGTACCAGAGGAAGGTTTAGTGGATGGAGTAGCGGTGACGGAGGTCTCACCCCAGCCTAGCATCTTCTCTTCTTCCGCCGAGCGTTGGTAAGGTGGCTCGACAGAGGAGGAAGCTGAGGTGTCCTTGATGGGAGTAGGAGTAGTTGGTGTGGTGATGCCGCCTCTAAGTTCGCTCTCTGGATACCCGCTGTCTTGAGTCATATTCGTTAGGCCAGATCCAACACCCGAGGATGCGCTGCCTCCGCCTACGTTTTGCCACCGATCTAAGGGAACAGAAAAGAGGCAATAACACGATTAGTAAAAAAGGAAACTAAGCAGACTTTTACATGACCTTTGAATGTGGAGAGACATAGGTTAGAGATATAAGTTTTCCCACCTGTTGATTCACTAGAAAGAAGAGAAGAGGCAGCGTCTTTCCCAACTGAGCTCTCATCCATTTCCAACTTCTGCCCACCTCCACTGGGAACAGCAGCAGGCGGGTGAGGTGGCGCGATGACAGCGGCTTGGTAAGGTATGCTCGTGTCAGCTTTGTGGGGGTTCTGCCCGCGCAAGGTTCGAGAGAAGACAGCTCCGGTGCCCTCTGCCTTGAAGGGAGTGTAAAGCGGTGTCTGAACGTAGGCATTGTTCTCCACCTCGGTTACCAGAGAAGGACATGAGGTGGCCTGAGCCATGGCTGCTACCGCCGCAACTGCCGCATTGGAGTCAGAAGTAGAAGAGGAGGAGCGAAACTGTGCCTGGGTTGCTAATGGCTGCGGGTGATGATAACGTGTTCGGCTAATGCCCAGAACACCGCCCCCGACGAACTAAAGAAGTTATTAAAACACCTATTCCTATTTGGAATAACGTTCCAATATAATTTAAATAAGCGTTTGATCTACACCTGAATAGCATAAAATGCACTTTAGTGTATTTAAAAAAAAACAGTATGAGAGGTTTTGAAAACAATGGAGAGGAACAATTTATTGTAGACTCTGTAAAAGTTACTCAATGTCAGGATATCTAAAAAAGAGAAAACTCTACCAAAATCCGCCAGTGTTCCAGCTTCTTGTCAACACTTCATTATTCGACAATTTAATTGCGTACGTCTGTTAAATTCAACTCGCAATAAGTTATGCCTTAGTAATCAAAGCTTGAAGCAATCAAAAACATACCCTGGCAGCGGAGTGTTCTATGTTGGCGGGTTGGCTCATGAGCTGGTCGTAGCCTTCACTGTAACGTGGTTCCTGGTAGTTGCCACTAATTCGTGGACTAATCCAATCTCTGGTGGTATACACACCATCACCACCACCACCTCCTCCGCTTATACGAACATGGGCCTGGCTCCACTCACCAGACCATCCATGATATTGGTGGGGAGCCCAGGTGGTGAGACCTTCACGTTTCACAGAGCCATTACGTGATGATACAGTGTGGGACAATTGGGGACCGGGATAAGCATGGTGTTGACTATGATTAGACACACCTAGTGCATTCTGCTGATAGGGTGGAGTGTGGGGATAGACTACACGGTTTAAAGTCTGCGACGGCAGCGTAGGAGCTCCTTCAGCAAAAGCAGCACTGCCACCACCACCACTGCCTCCAATGCTCTTTGAATTTCCACTGCGTCCGCCACCCCTCGAATTGTTACCCCGCCTGTCGTGAAAGAAAGAGAAGCCATCTGCTGGACCCTTCGAACCATCCCGTCCTCCGCGGGTACCACCGCCACCTCCACCATTTCCACCGCTCCCACCGGAATTTCGAAAAGCCGCTCCAAGGCCGGTACCGCTACCACAGGAACGACTGCTCCAACTCTCACCTTTGTGTTTCTTATTGGCGTAAACCTAAAGAAAAAGTAAAACACAGTGATCATTTCAATTTTGATAACTTTCGAGAAAATGGGTATTAATGCATGTGTAAGTTACAAGACGCAAGATTTGCAATTCCCTTGCTTATTTAGGATACATTGTGCTTTCTGATGTGGGACAATTGGAATCGCCCCGGTTAGTGATATTGGTGGGGATTTTCGTTCCACTAATCACCTCCCTCTGCGTCTCCTTTTCGGACGATAAAATTGAATTTTTTTGAAAAGGATGCATCAGCTACACAGAGTAACGGGAAATTCTTGTGTAAGCAAAGCGTTTTATAGCCAATTTTGCCGTTCCCCAACTGTTTTGTTAATAAAATGCAAGAACAAACATCGCAAAGTATTCTTCACTGAAAAGTTTGTATCAATTCGGCTCAACAATAATGAAAGGGCTATGAGCACTTCATTTTCGATTCCACACGATGGGGCTTTTAAAAAAAACGCTGACTGTGTTTATGCAAAGGCTTGATAAAATAAGCTCAAAGTACTTGCGATTACCAGATTACAAAGGAACACTCCCGGGGGCGCGTTTTCCAATATCCCCAGGCTTGGGATCCCGTAGGAATCACTTGTGTCCAAAATGGCAGGGATCAATCATCATTAGCAATGCTAGGAATGAATCATCCACCATAGGTACACAACCGCCCAACAGCTACCATCTTTACTTGTATGCAGTATCAAAAGATGAAGTCATTGAGCATGATCTGCTTTGATTTAGCGTTTCATCTGTGCCAAAGAATTATACACGATGAGCAAACATTCTTCTTTGCAATTTTAGTTGCACTTCATTTGGAAATTTTGGATTGCTTAGAGCCATTTTTGCTCTGTCAATAATCATGTCTAGATTCTGTGGTGATTAGCAGATAAATAGTTTCAAAAGCTTTTTTTAATTCGGTTTTCAAAGATGGGTTCGCCTGCGAACTATCTTGACTGAGTAATGACGGAATTGATGCTAATAACATTTGCAAATGAAAATAGGAGGCTGCCGCAAACGTTAAAGTGAGGCAAGAAACTATGTAATCTTGCCATGAAAGTGAATGTCAAAGTGGGAGGCAGGGAAATGTGACTTACCTCTGCACCATGTACAGTCTTGACATGTTTGCGGAGAGAGCTGGGATCAGTATAACGCTTGGAGCAGCCCATGACCTTACAGACATAGGGCTTCTCGTTGCTGTGTGTGCGGTTCTGATGCTTGGCCCTGTCGGAGGCGTTACTAAAGGCTTTGTTACAACCTGGCACTTCGCATTGGTATGGCTTCTCTCCCGTGTGCGAGCGCAGGTGAGTCTTCAAATTTTCCAGCCGTGAGTAGCGCTTCGAGCAGCCGTCGAACTGCGCACACACGAGGTAAAGAAGGACAAAAGTACTTCAGGTTTTGACTCCACCTGAGCACAACAAATGCATGTGACAAACACAAAGGGTGGGATGTGTATTTTATTCCGACTGTAATGATGCCAGTGGCTGGGAACTCGCCTCGTCCAGTGAAGTGTTGGTCACCACAGCGTAGTGGAGTGCGTGAGAGAAAGGAAACTACGACTTAATCTTCATTTCCACTGAATGCAGACGCCATTTGCGGAATTAAAATCCGCCACTGCGCAGCAAACACTGCCAGAATCGACCACCGTTGGCGACGTCTGAGTGAACATCTGCCTAATCATTATTTATAATGGTAAGTGAAAACCACAAACCATCTCTGCAAACAAACAAGCGCGATCTAATATGAGCTTTGCATTAACAGCCTTCCCTTCTTTGCGGCGAGACCTAACCTGATGTGTAGGAAAGCCGGAGCTGTCCATCAAGACATTTAGACAAGGTGCAAAATGTGACACGGCTCACACATTAATCCCAACCACAGTCAACAGGCCTACTGTTTGCCCTGTCAATCACACAACAAATCGCACAGAGTGAATCGTATCCGCCTTTCTTTCTTCTCCTTCATAGCACCAAAAGCAACTTCATCTACGATCTACAGCTTTATGGGCCCGAAAAAAGTTTATGCGATATGTAAAAAATGTAGAAAGATCGGTGTGGCACCGTCCTTGAGGAACTTTAACCGCTCAAACTCATTTCAAACGCATTTTAAAGCTATTCGTGCTGGTGAGTAAATGAAAAACCTTGCGACATTGTGAACCCGTTCCGATAAAACTTAGAGGAACCAAACTTGTACGACTGTGAAAAGTTAACCGACAGCAATGAGCCAACCATGCATGTTGAAAAACTGTCTTATGGACCAAAATATGGAAATTAATGAATGGTAATTTAATGTTCGGCATGGAAAGAATTCGTACCACACCAGCGACTATGCTGAAGACCTTTGACCAACGTTGGTACAGCACTGCTTGGATGCTGAAGATGACCGCTTTATTAACTTCTATTATTTAGCAGTGATCTCAAACAGCATGCATGCCTTTTTGAAAAAGCCAGAAGTCCCCTCAGCGGTCAACAAACCTTGCCAACCATTTCTGATAAAGGTGATGAACAGAGGCTTGGAAATTACTATTTGAAGTATAAGCAAATGTTTTAGTTAATTCACGAAAAAACTGAACGAATTTTGCAGGAGACGACTTTATAGGCGGCAGGGTGGGAAGGGGTGAAAAGAGAAGGGGAGAGGTGGAGTATTAACTGACGCCAAGCTAGACCGCCCACCAATTGGTGGCTTCAGTCTTATCAACTTTTCTCCCTCCCCTCCTACTCAGTCTTCAAAGACCTTCCGACGAACTCATCAATTACCCACCGCCACCAGCAGCAGCAGACTGCGAGCTTAAGAACTTCAACTGAGAGAAAAGTAGGAGGGCGGTGAATTGAGGGGGCAGAAGATTGGGATGCTCACTCACACATACACACGAATACTTATGGGTGGTCCCTCGACTAAGTTTCCTTAACCGGCATTAAAGAAGTCGAAATGCTGACCCATTTTTTAGCCTCCAACTTACAATGCACTTGTGGGGCTTCTCTCCAGTGTGGCGACGCATGTGCACCACCAGCATGTACTGCGCCTTGAAGGGTCGGGCGCCGCGCACACACTCGCGCCAGAAACAAACGAAACTCTTCTTGTTGCCCGCGATGTGCTCGTTACTGATGTGCTGCATAGGTTAAGGAATAAGTCGTAATCATTGAGTACCTGGTAAAAATAGGAGCTGCAAAAGTGAAGGAAGGGCTTTGTAATTTTAAAAGGTCCGTAAACAATAAGCCTTCCTCCCTCCCTCTTAATCGCAAAAGCGAAAATTTTTTAATAGATAGTGGAAGAGTTTGTGTTTAATGGTCAAAGTTACTCTTCTCATTATAAGAACAAAATGTGGTTTATTGTTAAGTGTAAAAAGCAGATGACGAGTAGTGTGAACTCCCAATCGAGTCTATAATTATTTAAAGTGGGGAAGATTTTTCAAACCTTGTATTGTGTTTGGGTAAGTGATACCGTTGCTGTCATTAATTATCCAAACACACCCTACCCCTGCGGGAGGTGATTAATTTTTGCAGTCGATGCCCTCTATCCGTAGGTTTGTTTAAATTGACTCTGATGATTTAAATTCTGTGGGTTCCCAGGCAAGAATGATGCACGCATGCACACGCACATAACTGGCCTCGATAGGTGCCATTGTAGTAAAACACTAGTAGAAATACAAGACAGTGAAGTGTGATAGTCGCGTAAACAAGGGGTGCAATACACTTGTAAAGAAAGCTACCTTTACAAGTTCGTCCTGTGATTCAAACTGGCACTGACAGTTGCCCCACCGACAAGTCGTCTCAACGAAGTCAGGATCGCCTTCCTGTGGAATCCTGCCGTCTTCATCCATCAACTCTTCTTCATAGTCACTACATCCAGCCTCGTCGCCAGCCAACAGTGCCGCTACCGAAGCGCCACCTCCTCCGCTCCCACTGCTTTCCACCTTCATAGCCTTTGCCACAACTGTCGAAGTAGATAGATCTTCGCCCTTCATGGAGCCGCCAGTGGTGGAACAGGCATCACCATTAGTGTTAGTGGAAGGCGGAGGCGGAGGTGGAGGTGGTGGAATAGGGACATCCTTGCGTGAGTAGCTACTCCGACTCAGCCACCAATCGTAGTTGGGAGACTGGAATGGATCATGAGGCTGACTGCGCCCAGAGTAAAACGGAGCAACAGCAGCGGCAGCCGCAGCGTTAGTAGACTTCTGTAGGGCGTTGTGGTAAAGCATCATGGCCTGAGGTGAAAGCATAAAGTTTGCCGGGTTAGTTGATGCCTGAGGCTTGCGTGGGAATAGAGGTGGTGCAATGCCCGGAGCAGAAGCGGGTGAAGAGCCATTAGAGGAGGAGCTGGTGGCCGCTGTAGATCCCGGATTAGAACCGCAGGGCTTGGAGGGCCACGCGTGGTGACTCAATGAAGGGACGGTTCCATTACCCCCTCCTCCGCCGGGTCCTCCAGTCCCACCACTAAAGTTTGCAGCGACTGCAGCGGCAGCGGCCGCTGCAAACGCCATTGCCACAGCGGAATTATTTTGTGCGTCTTTTGCCTCACCTACAGAAAAAAAAACGAATGGTGGTAACATTGTGGTATTTTATCGACACGCATGATAAATGAAGAGGCGGTAGGAAAATAGGTCGTATTTGAGCATTCCGCGCGCAATATTGACCGTTTCAATCATCAATGCCCGATGCACTCAAACAAAAGTGGAGCAGACCACCAGAATCGAGCACATTAAAGGTTGGGAGATGCTTAGCACTGAACAAAGGATGAGTACGGCTCTATACTTTTAGGATCAAAACCTGAAAACTACGATGACTAATTCCAAAGAGAGGCTCTCAAAAAAGAAAGCAACAACAGAGGTTCCAAATAGAACCAATTAGCTTATTATTCGATTGACAAAGTACTAAAATCCACGGAATAACTCAAATTTGAAATGTTGTGTTTAATTCCAAAGGTTGTGTATCTCAACATTAGCTCAAGAGGCGAAATCACTTAGAGTTGGGAAAATTTTTAGTAAACGGATGATTCTATCTACTGATTAAAAGGAAATTTTCGGAATCATTAAACATTCTCTGTGTCCGAACTGCGATCAAATAAAACAAACCCCACCACACCCACCAATCAGTGTGCTGCAACATCAATTTCAGCATACACTTAGCATCTGTTGGAGTATCATAAGGGCCATCCCAGTAGCTCAATGCTAAAACTCGCAAATGTCGCGGTCTCCTTATGTCTTGTGCTACGAATATGACCATTCTTTGTCATATAAACTTTAACAAAACTTTTATTTATGCCGATGAATAAGGCAAAAATATATAATGGCCGCTGAATCATTGCAACGACATCCTAAAAATTCAATTTTGATCTTCAGCGATGCGTTTGTATATTCACTGGGAAGGATCTTGTTGGTAGCTGTCAGCAGTTGAGAAGTAACCTTCAAAAGTTAGCCAAGCGTATGATGGAATTAATCGAGAGCAAAGAGCAAACACACAATAGATACAACAACACCGTCTTTGTCTTTCGATAGAGTTGTTAATCATCCATAATCTGCACCTCAATGAACACATTAGAATACTGGCTTTGAGTCGCTTTAGAGATCGTTAACAAATTATTAAGTCTGACTTCTCTCAGGTTCAAGGCATGGAGACTTAATGTAGATAGCGTTGAAGGCGAAGTCTGTTAAATTTCGCTGAATTGGCTCAGGTTCAAGCTTGAATGAGCGTGTTGGAACATAGAACTAACGGTATAAAAATACTCACCGGGTTTGTTAACTTGTGGTGAGCATCCATGGAATGCGGAAGGTGAGAATGCCCCGACGCTGGAAGGAACGGAAGTGGAGGGGAAGAGAAACGTGGCGGCAGAGTTGGCCGTAGTTGGGGCGAGGGTTGTGGAGGAGGCAACGCCGCTTCCTATCCCACCACCGCTACTGCTACCACTACTGTTGGGCGTAGCGCGACTGATTCCTCGGGGCGTCAGGCCTCTCCGGTAAAGGAAAGAGGGAGTGGTAGGCCGAAAACAGCTTCCCGATGTGGTGACATGCTGCGGCGAGCTACCGAACACAGAGTTGTCCGTACTGTTGTTACTCGCACGCCGACCAGCCACTGGCACAGGACTGGCTCCCAGAGAGGCTGGTAGCAAAGTAGCACAAAGTACGCCCATTAACAGGTTAGTCAATGTCTATTTCTGATGCTTTTTTAACTTAAGAGGAATAATATCTTAAAGTGCGACATCTGCCGACCTACAGCAGAATGATGTTCAGTAACGCTGAACTACCTGAGAGCGAAGGGGAATTAAAAGGAGTGGCAAGTTTTCACTTCGTGAAGAATACCACCTACAATCATCGTGTCAATGACAGACAAGGATTAAAACATCGCAAAAAAACATTTAAAGGCTTTTCTTCACTGTAAACTTACACTTGGCAGGTAAAAGTAAGATGAGAACGAAATATTTGAGAACTGAATGTGGAGACGTAGAGGGGTTGCATTCACTGCAACATTGCTGAGCTCACAACAGTAATAGAAGGTAGGCGGGCGGAAGGGCGTAAAAAAGTTTAGTAGTTAGTTTCGCTAATTGTCACCGAAATGCCTGGACCAGATGGTCTCTCGAGCGCCGGATTTTCATCACACCAATAAATTCGCTTGCTACAATGGGTTGCTCTGAGCCACTCTAAGCACATACTCACGCACATATGTCACAGTGGCGGGTGGACGGGCGGGCGGCCGTTGTTATCATCTTCAAGCTGTGTATGCTTGTGCGTGTGTATGGACACCATCTGCTAGTATCTACCGCTTGCCGCATCAAACGGGTGGGCCTTCTAGCATTTTGACGACGCCACACACGCGCAACGCGAAAAAAGTTGAGGAGAATTCCACTTTTGTTTTAAATTGTGATAATTAAGCCGATGGAAACGAAAGACCCAAAATTCCAATTTCTATTGTTCAAAAATTTGTATTCAAGAATAACAATTTGAAATCTGTGGTCTAAGCACTAATAAGACCTCTAGAAAGACTCCGAGTATACAAGTGATAAAATATATTGGCCCTCATGGAGTCCTTTAATGCTAAACTTCTCAGATAGGATGAGCAAAGTTTGTTTCTACGCACTGACCATATTTGCTTTGAGAATGAATTACTTTTGAGCTAATTAAAATTGTGAGAGTAGTTTTCCCGCAACAGGGGAGAAAAGCTTTCACAAATTTAGTGGAACAATATCCGCGGTTTTTTACTGAACTACTGAACCATGGAAAGAAGTGAGGGCTACAACGCACCTCAACCAGGGGGGTTCGTATTTTCCGTCTATTTTCAACATGTTACAATTTGAAGCCAACGCGACTCTACAGAAAGCCACGGGAGTGAGTGACTGAAGCTAGCAGCGTCATCAAAAAGGGAGGGGCAGAGGGGTGAGGGTAAAAGTAGGGTGTGCTCTCCCCGCCACCGTCGCCGCCGCCACTGGTTGCTATGACTACCCCACCTTCTTGTTATTGGGCCACACACAATACGCCTGTACGAATGCTGGGTGGTCGATTACCGCAGCGTTTTGAGGTGAGAATGTAGAAGTGCATTTTAATCCTTTGTCGATGCACCAATCGATCAATGCATTAACCTGTGCGTCAGACAGACGACAGTCCTTCAAGGCCATAGTGGGTGTGTGTTAGATCATTCAGAAATCTACCGAAAGTTCTTGTTTCTCGTGCCATCGAAGCAAATAGAGTCTACTTTCCTTCTCTTGAAGACGTTTTTTCCAAGTAGATGGTTTGTGAAGAAAAAAGTCCTCTCCCAAGGAGCAGGTTAGGCGCATGCGTGGACACATGCTAAAAATGGGGAGTTGTTTTTTTACCTGCTCTCCTAAGCTCGCTCCGCTTGGTCAGAGGCGCTAATGGCGGGGACTTTGGTGTGCACATAAAAGAGTGTCGAAAAAATCGATCACCCGCCGTTCCCACCCTATGGCAGTGTGTGCCTCCTTACCGCAGTTTTTGGCTTCTGCTGCCGCTACAGCAGCAGCAGCAGGTTGAGGTGAGCAAATGATAGGAGAAGGATAATTCCGCCATCTGTTATGTTCAGGGTTCTAAGCCCTATTAGGTGTGCCAGCAACATGGCGTAGTTTACAGCAGATAACTCTTAAAGATCGAAGACTAGAGATTGCTCATCAAAGGTTTTCCTCCACGGTTCAAACCATTAGCTGAAATCGACTGATCGGAGAGACGAATAATGAGTAACGCTCAAGGAGCGATTATGATGGCAGTGAGTATTCCCTATCGTTACCAAAAAAGAGAAATGATGTTTGCTACGACTTTTTCTTGAACAATATTGTATCTCTGCATCCAAATTCCCATGAATAATTTGCTGTCCTTCGAGAAATGTTTACAATAAATACACGAAGTAAAGCAAAAGGAATACTCGAGAACGATTTGATGAAGGAAAAATAATCCTCAAACCAGCGATGGTTAGAACTTTACTTTTCTTCAAAAAGGAGGTTGGCATGATGGATATTAATTTGACATCTATGGGCGTTTCCTCTTAGTTGAACGATGGACCTTGTTACCTGTCTAGCTCAACAGTGAGTTTGCAAAACATGCTTTGCGTAATTCAGGAGGAATGGGAGGAGGAGGTAGAGGGGATAAGTTCTTGCTCAAGCTAGTCATCATATTCACCATGGAAGGTTTCCGTGGTTGTTGTGGTTCAAAAAAGTTCATCGAATATTTAGGCTTTTGTCCCTTGCTGCAAGAAAAAAGGCAAAAAGACGTACCAGCGGAAAGATGACCATAGGAGCCTCCCATGCTCGAAATGCCGCTTCTGGAGGTTTGCATAGCCTGAAGCATGTTGAGAGAACCTTGAGAACTGCGGGTAAGGCTAGGAATGTCCAAGTCATTGACAGATGATTGTGAGTGTGAACGTTTCTTGCCTCCACGCAGAAAACTGCCACCCACCGATGTGGTTCGGAAGCCCGACGATGCGGTGGGAACAAAGCCGCTGCTCCGGTGCCCAGAATAGGGCTGGTATCCAGCTGCGGGAAATCCGAGGCCCCACGATGACGAGGTAGGTAAAAAAGAACCAGAAATATGAGGCGCAGCTTGGGACGGGGGTGGTGGTGGTGGGGGCAGAAGCGGACTGGGAGTTCCGCTGGCCGAAGTTTGCTCATTTGCTCGAGAAGGGTTCGCAAACCAGTTTCGCACCATGCTGAATGCCTCCGCTGCTACCACCACGGCTCCTTGAGACGGTGGGGGTGTGGATTTCCATGTAGAACTACAATTATGTGTGCAGCCTTTTCAAACGTGGCTCTTTTCTTATGCCTGCCCTTTAGGACAACAAGATGGTAAGATGAAGGGCAGTAATATTTTCGAATTATTTATAGGTTGACGAGATGGCAAGAGTAAGGTTGTGCAGAGGTTTGGTGTGACCTTTCAGCTCCCCATTGAAGCTGCAATCGACAAACCCTTCCCATGTAACGCGCGGCATTTGGCATGTTGTTCAATAAGGTAAGGACGGCAGGTAAGTGGAGGGGTTTGGGGCGTCGGCTGCAGTGTTATACGATAAATAGTCCTAGGATTTGTGGTTATCTCTGGTGCAATTAACATTTCAGCCGCACTGCAGTATGCGCGTGCCAATGTCTTGTGAGCGGTTCAAGCCAGGGACCAGACACATGTGCGCTGTTGCCTTGTCCGCGTGCCCTTCTGGCAACCGTGCTATCTCCAGACCCAGACCTCGACACAGACCTGTTCGTACGCATACGCACGCAGGCATGCGGAGCCCTTTGGTCTGCAATTGTAGCAGAAAAAAATTGCAGCTCTCTACCTCTCTCTTTAATTTTGTCGCAATTTCTAAAGGGCATTAAATCTTCAGACGATGTTAGTAGTTTTTGCACCTGAGTCAGAGAGAACACTATGGTTAATTAATCTATCGAAAGGCTTGTGTAGAAAAACATTGTTGGAGAGATAAGGAGTTGGACGGAAAAGGAGAAAAGAAGCAGGCGGAGGAAAAAGCGAGGTCAGACAATAATGCCTGTACCTCTTTTCCTTCCTCCCCTCTCCTTTCTCTTCTCGCCAGCCCTTACGATACCAGCTCACGCGTGTCCAAAACAATCCTGACGCCCCGGGGGCGAGAAGGAGGCAAGAGATGAGGGCAAAGGTGGGGTAGAGAAAAGGGTGGGGAGTGTAATTACAGGTGTGCGTATGTGTGCGCATGCGTATAATTAGAATGCTAATCTCACACTGTGGGAGACTGGGATGAGATGTACCTGGCTGTGCTACTCAGACTTTTTCTTCAACTGCTCTAAACACAAAACGTGCGCACACACACACCTCAACATTTGGGGCAAGTCAGATGGGAGTTGTTCTTGGCAGTCTTAGCTGTGACAAGTAGTTTTGAACTCGGGTTGCACCATGCCAAAGTGAGCAGAATTAGAGATTACCTTTATCATCAAGGGATTTACATGGTAGATGCGAAAAACACTGACGCTTTCAGGATAACTCAGAGAATACGAATCAACCAGGGAATCCTTATACTATTTATTAATGCTGTTTGAGAGGACTTTGGCGAAAACACAAGGGGAATTATAAGAGTGGTACACGCAACAAAATGCAATCAAGAGTTGGGATTGAGAGAAGGAGTTGAGTGCAGAGGAATAAGGTCACAAAATGCGCGCTGTATGTATGTCTAAACGTGAAAGTGTATGCGCGCATACGTATACTTTGATGATTGGCGCCGAACACGCGTGACTAAGAATCATTAAATTGTCGCTGGAGGTCACAGGAATGAGAGTGCGCGCGTTGTTTGCGTGCGCGGGGTTGTCAGTGTCAAAACGTGGCGCGACACTACGAGGCAGGATGAGGTGAGGGCAAAGGAACCATGCCCATATGGCTGTTTTCAGACGCGCAAAGGCTACTAATTAGTCACCGCAGCCGATTTGGAAATGTCAACCGCCGGCCGCCTTTGTCAGGAGACCACACCATAATGGACCATTATCGAAAAATCGGGAGTACCTTGTGCGATAGATAAGACCGAAATAAAACGATCACGTGTACACCCTTCTGCAGGAAAGATTACTCTATATGCACACACAAGTGGTACCACCCACGTACGCATTAAAGGAGTGAGAGAGCAAACGTGTACACTCGTCGACATTGATTCAGGACTTTCCCAGGAAATGTACTCCCTCTTGTTCCCGCTCTTTCGCGCACACACCTTCTACACCGAACACAGGACAGAGGGAGCTTAGTCACCTTCTCTATGCGATAGGACATGCGAAAGTGGAAAATAGAGCCAAATTACCCTGTGATCTACCTTTCTTTGAATTGAAACCCAGTCTTATGTTGCTACTATAACTTACTATAATTTGTACGTATTTCAAGTTTGGGCATCTCCGATTTGTCCCGTCTGCATCGGAAGTCACTTAGTAGAAGGTCATACACAGAAACCAGCTAGATTTGAGAATATGGCGTAAGTGAGAAGTTTGGTCATTCCTCATTTGGTGATTGTTGACAGAGCCGCAAATGACGCTAAGCTCAAAGACGGTGGCACGTTTAATACAAGTTTGGGGAGCCAGAATGAGACTAGAGGGCATCGGGTAAGGAGGGGAGTGTCTGTCGTCCAGGCATTTTTTCTCATCCAAAACACTCGCATCGAATTGAATGGAAACATTCACAAGATGAAGTACCGACCAACCGCAGATTTTGGAAGCGTTGCATCGGCGCCAATCCTCAACTTTTTTACTTCTGCTTGCGCTTGCACCCCTCCGCTATCCGTTGTTGTTCCTCCAGAGTGGGTGGGAGGCTTATGTTAGATATAAATTCTCTGAAGCATAAAGTGTAGTGAACCAGGTCTTAACCAGGCCCTGGGGAGTTGAGCTGAATCACACTCCAACGAGATGCGTATCAGAATAAGAAAAGGGAGTAATGACGGAGAGAAAGAGCAACCGATAAGGCCTAAGCGACTGCTATCAAGATGAGTATGCCTCCTCTCCCCCTTTTTGGCCTTCAAAGGCGGTTCATGGTGCCAGTCAAGCGTGCGTGCCTACGTACATGTGTCCGCACTAGCACGCCCTAATTTGCAATTGATGGACGGGAAGACAGAGAAAAAAACGCAGTAGCAACTCTATCTGCGACGGAATCGGATGTTACAGAAGCATTAGTATTAGTAGCAGCAGTCATTTTTGATTACCATGCTAGAGGAACTGAGAGGCAACGGCTGGATGACAGACGCAAGCGTGTTGGAGGAGGAGGAGGAGGAGGGCACAGTTGACCCGAAAATTAACTACTGTGCGACACGGTCATAAAATTAAGCGCGTACACATGCGTACGCGTGTGCGTGTGTGCCTCAAAGGCAAGAAGGAATGACAGGGGAGAGAGGCAGCTGCAACAGAGGCGGTAGTGTAGGATGGAACAAAGTTTGAGAGAAAAGTTAACCCCCAAAAATCGGCGCCATTCTCTTGACAAACACACGCTCACTCAAGTTCTCTTGTCCATTCACACTCCTGCACTCCCACCCTCCTGCCTGCCGCATCATTAGCCGACAATTAACACGTTTTTGCGGTCTGACAACACTCGGGGGAAGTGTTTAGTGGGTTGAGTGTAAGGGGAGGAGGAAGGCCGCAAGGCATTAAACTGCTCTTCCTCTCCCTCTCTAGCTCCATTCAAAGTGGTTGGTAGCTGCTCCGGACTTTTTTTCAAATGCCTTTGCCTAGTGTGTTTGTAGGAATGGAAAAAACCCGCCGAGGTTGGGCTGACCAACCCTCCCAAAGTAGGACAAATTGAATGCCTGCTTGGTCGCTGGCAATGAGAGAAATCTCATCATCCCCAAAACTAATTACTCTCTGCCCAAACGACTGACTTGGCAATAGCTGAATCAAGGTGAACCTGAATTTAAACCCCGTGACCTCATTTAACGACTTAGAGACAAATTCCCCTTCTAATAGACCTCATGGTGAGCCCAGGAGTACGTAAAAAACAACTAGAATGCCTTGATGGAATCTTGAGGTTTAAGTCACATGTGAACACCCGATATAATGACCATTGGAGAGACGCCAGGAAACTTACGCCGAGGGAAGGAATGAAGAAGAAGCTCCATCAGCCGACGAAGCCGCAGCAGGCTGTAGATGAGAGGCATCAGAAATGGACGCGGACCAATCGTAGCGACAAGATCGACTGTCAGAGGCTAAGGGAACGGGAGGATATGGTACGTGGGAGATTGCAGAGGCAGGTGGCACCGCCTTCGAGATTGCATTGAATACGGGCGATTTTGGAGCTGAGGCGGTGGAGGAGGACGTCACTGATGTTCCCGTGGTCAAAGTGCTATTAGTTATGGTGGATTCGGTGGTGACCGCACCGTGTTCCCCTCCACCAGAAGGGTTTGTAGCCACAGCCATATCGTCCGAAAAGCCCAAAGAGTTGTTTCCTTTGGGACCTGTGTACATTGAATAGAGGGTACACATGGTGATAATGTAACTTCGCAGTGCGTGATTGCTAATGCGTCAAAGGTGCAAAGGACGCGGTTGGCGCTAGAAGCACGCTAAACCAAGAGAAAGTGGAAAAGTCGGGAATGGGGGTAAGAGGATGATTCCGAGTAAGGAACCCATCGATTCTGATAGACTTCATGGATGTGTAGATGGAGCGGCTGAATTGATGAACGTGTGTATTCGAAGAATGAAATTGTTGTCGGAAAGATTTTTTTTACTAAAGCTACACCCCCCTCCTTTCCCATGTGCATACACACAAACTAGGAGCCTAGAAAAGGTTGGACTTCCAAAAACGTCCACCAAATGGTATTTACAATAACGCTAACGATTCCCATGCGCATCGCCTATGAGGCTTTGATAGGGAGCAAAGCATTGTGATTCGAATGGTTTCATTGCTGGGTGCAAAGAATACATCGCAAAATTTAGCAGGTGTTGGTAGGATGCAAAGCGTCAAAAGATGTAGTGTCTACTTGGTTTAACCAAATATGAGCCATTCCATTTGTGTGAGGGTATTTGCCCGGGTCTCGATCAATGGCAAGGTTCAATTGTCTCCACCTTAACTGACAAGTAGGGAGTATGAATTCTTCAAGCCTGACCCTGATTCCAAAATGAATCCCTTTGTCTACTAATACATTTGAATAATCGAACTTTGCAAATACGAATGTGTTAAGCTTGTTTTTGGATTGTTAAAAATTATGCAAACGAGTCACTACACCAAACTTTCTCTACTCCCATCTTTACTTATATCGGTGTGTTTGTGCTTTTAGAAGTGCAACAATGACATGGGGATGTGCATTTGTGCCTTCCTGATTGTCAGCTTGCATGCCTGTATTAACACGTGCACCTTCTTGTAACAATTAAAAATGGTTTATCGTACTCCAATCCCACCTTTTGTTACCTTCGCTTTCTATTTTCTCCTAAGTTTCTCTGAACAAAAAAAGGATGGGTTTCTTATGTACATCAACGCACACGTACACCCAACCCCAAAATTACCTTTGAACTCTGCTTAGAGAACAGACAGTTCATGGACAGATACTGTATTACTTCAAGATAACGCGACCACCCGGAGGCAAGTAATAGAAAGTGTATATGCAAGAGACGAAAGGGGACAAGGAGGTAGGGGAGATGAAGAAGGTATTTCTTATGTGGCCTGGTTGAAAAGACTGCTCAGCTCATGTTAGAAGGACTTTCCGGACTATAAAAACATGAGCGTTAAGAATTAGAATTACAACTTACTCGAACCAGGGGAGGTAAGGAAGGAGTTGACACTGAGTGGCGGTGGACCTGTGGAGCGTGGAATCGGTGGATCCGACAAATCCTTCTTCGGAGAAGTAAGGACGCCCTCTAATCGGTCTGGTTCTTGAAGCAAGGCTATGGGTTGGTCGGTGATCCCCTTGTCTCCGCCTTCATTTAGGCACGAACACGCAGAGGCGAATGTCTCAGATGTCATGGTTATTCTGCTTAACTTTTTGGCTAACAACAGTCATTGGGAGAAGCACTGCCAACATGATGGCTACAATGGAAGGAAGCGCATTTACTTACTTAAAATAAACAATGTATTCAGGCATTGCTGCCTTAGTACGTGTAACTGGAACATTGAGGATGTGCAATGGCCACATGCTTTTTTAAAGAGAATGTTGATTGATTCCTATTTTTAAGTGTGAAAAATTCCCTCTCGCCACCTGCGTACACATGAAGTTATCACACTATGGACAGAGCAAGCAGGGCTCTAAGTCCGGAAACACGCTGTTTTGAGTCATGAGTCCACGTGCCAACGGACCTTATCAGAGATGGCGAAAATGCACACGTACGCGTTTGATAAAGGAAAAATACTTGCATAGATAGTTTATGAACGATAACGACTGTCAGTATTTCGCTGGCAGACGCCTAAGTCCTTTTTGTTTCGTAGATTGGGTTTGGCAGACTGGATAGAGTGCACACATGCCTTCGAAATGAAGATTTGGTGAGCACCAAATTCAAGTCCACAAACACATACGAACACGGCTGACGCAGCTGGATTCCCACGTGGAGATTTGGAAGGTAAATCACAAAATTTCGTGTGTGCGTGGAGGGGGTGAACCAATGGGCGGATGATGCTGTTCAAAGATAGGCACATGTTTGTGGACGCCACACATCTAGTTCAGAGCGCACAAACGCTCCAGATTTCGGCTAGGCTGCAATTAGGTGGACGTGACCGACGGAGAGCACAAACACAGTCGAAAGACAGTATCAACGGTGGCAAGTGGAGGAGGAGGAGAAGCATCGATCTATTGGCGACGGCGCTGCACCCGTATAAACACCTGTGCGTGGCCGTCTGCCATTCCGTATATCTGCTTGTGTGTACATGGTGTGTGCCCGCTTACTTGCATACACACCCCAGACACAGGCCCCCGCGCCTGCATCTCCTTTTGTGCCGCTACAAGTGTTGACTCACAAATTTCCAACGGCTGAATCACTCCCCCCGTCAAACACCTTAAAAGCATAATGATGCGTCTTCCGTACCCTATCGTAGAAGCTTCAGTTGGAGACTGTAGAACCATCGCCTTTCTCTTCGATAATGACTGCAATTGATGGCTAATGTTTGTAAAGTGGTTGCACCCTGGTTCGCTTCTTTCGACCCAGCTTGTACATATTCACCAGCTGGCTTGTGTAGATGTTACTCAACCATCCGACCACAATACTCTTTCTAATTTGGCAATTTTGAATAAAACAAATGTGAGAGGGCAGAGGAAAGGAAGCTGTGTACGTGACTCAGGAAGGGCACGTCTACAAGCACCGCCTCCATTCCCTTCTCAGGCCTAAGACGACTCAATCATGCATCAGTGACTCATCGTCTTCCCACTGCACACACATGCAAGACTCTCGTGTGCGGAGCCCACCTACGAGGGAGTAGACGTCAAAAGCCGCTGGCCACTGAACCTTTAAATATTTTATCATAGCAATGGAACGGAGCAGACAGACACACCAATGCAGGTCAGTATTATTACCAATTCATCACTTCGTAGGCCTCATAAATCTAAACAATGGTGCTTTTACGGCTGAGAGGTTCTTCACAGTGTTTTTTCTGAGAGTTATCCAAATTCCCGGAGGGGAGAAAGGAGTGAGAATTAGGTGCACAGAAGTTAAACGATGCATGTTCAGTGATGAATCAAGCGTGCAGTCGTCTTCGTTCGGCAGCTGCAGCCAATATTGAAAGTTTATGTGAAAGGATGATGCAAAAAAGATGGCGTCAAAAAGGTGGTTAAAGAAGACTCATACACGGAAGCGCACCGACCTAAAACGGGCATTAAGAATTCATCGGACCATGAAATAGCCGACACATGTCTACGAACGTACTCCTCATCTTTTGGGGCCTATGGGTAGCCCTTGATGAAAATTTTCCTCGTTCATAAGGAAACGCTTGCACATTCAAAGAGGTACAAGTTCTTCGGTGCGCAATGCACAAGGTGTAAACACGCACATTTAAATCAAGTACATATACCATAAAATTGTGACTAGTGGATCGACAAAGAAAGTAGAAGGGGAGAAAAGCAAGAATGGGTGATGCCAAATGTTCGAAGTTTACCGTCGATGTTGAAACCATGACTATGATGACACTGTTAAAATGAAACGCGTTTAAGGTCAAGCTTTCAGCTGTTCGAGGCGAGTTTGAACAAAGATCTATTACGGCATTGACGTCAGGCTTGATGAGCAATACAAAAATACTGAATTTGTATTAGCACATTTCCATTCGTTCATTTTGAAAAGTTACGAAAAGGCGGTGGTAGGCGTTAAGAAATAAAGTCCGAGACCGCGCCTTGCTGTTTTCAAGTGAACAGGACACTGCACAGTCACGGTGCAAGAGAAAAGGCGGTGTAAGAGGATAAATTACAATAGATTCAAAAGATAGCACCCTCCTTAAAAATAGAGGCCAGAAGAAACTAGTATTGACAAGTGATCGGACAGGTTTTTAAAGGAAATAGACAACCCAGATCACAAAAGCACCATAAATTCTTAAGGAGGGATGGAGATTCAAGTGAAGTACACAGCGTCAAGGTAGGGCGTTGAAGACAGGTCGAAACCGAGATTTTGGGTTGTCAAAAAGGGCAGTGGCAGCGCCGGACAGCGCATCAAGCAGTATAAAGGATTCCTTGCCTTGAAAACGAAAAAAGTCAAGGCATCAGACGGATGACACGCACATTCCGCCCTCACTGGCTCCCGCACCCTATTTCACTTGTTCGCTAGTTCACTCACACATCCAGGCAACCAAGCAAACAACAGCGCACAGAACGAGGAAATTAGTCAGGCTGTGCACACACGCATACACCCACACAGAATTCTTTTTACCGTTTCTCCCTTGGATGTTATGTGCTGCGTGCACAGTGCGTACGTACCGTTGCGTGCTAGTGGGCAAATCATGCGTTCACTAAGGAGGCAGTAGTAGTTACAGAAATCCACTCTTGGCCTCTTACACTCCAACCACCTCCCCCTCACAACCTGCAGCGGTAATAGCCAATCCTCCATTCTAGCAACAATTCTAGACATGTTTAGGCGTGAACGCTTGCAAGGCGGTGGAATAGTGGAAATGCCCAAATGTGGTTTTACGAAAACTCGAGCGGTGCGAGTGTGTCTGCGCGCACACAGGAAAGAGAGCAAACGAACGGGCGAAGTAACGAACGAACGCGAAAACAACTGTTTCCGGAAAACAGACAACGCGTCCACCGACTTTTCGAAGAAACACACTAGCGAGCGCAAGCACACACGCAGGGGCAAATGCACGCTGTGCATAGTCGGCACGTGCCATTTTAAACTTCGAAAGGAGGACAAGGAAACGTACTCGTGCTGTGAATGAAGATCACGTGTGCCAGAAACAGGCACCACTCACTCACCTGTGACAAACTTGGTTCCTTATGACCATTGGACTTAGGGGGATACAGAGATGCGGCTAGAACCCCTAACCTTCGGTGTCCACTACTAAAAGAACTCAGGCCTGTACTTCTCTACTAACAATTTTTGAAAGTAGTCAAGAGGTAGGATTTGCATGAGAACGGGATTGTCGAGTAGATCGCCCCCAATTCGTGATCTAAGGCAAACCGTTCAAGTAAATCTGGATGCTGATGTGCTGTCTACAGAGATTTTCTTGGAAGACACCATCTACATTGATTGTATAAAAAAGTGCCGCCAGCAAAGCAACTTACCCAGCTTTCCACACTAATCATAAGAATCCTCCTAGAATGGATGGATCTGGTATTAATTCTTACCATCCTCAAAAGAATAAGAAGAGATTGTACTAATCGCAAATGAAATGGTAGATTTGACGGTTTATGATGGTTCCAAATATCTACGTTGATCTGGTCACACTCACCCGATAGGGGGACCGATGAGCTAGGATACTTCCGATCATTTAGACGCATTCGACTGTAGGAGCCCATGTATCTAAGTGGCATCTGGTGGTGGGACAATTTCAGCAAAATACAAAATGTTTAATTGGCTAAAAATGCCTAACGACGGACAAAATCAAACTGAATGATAATATATGCTCCTCCAAAGCCACGCAATTTTGCCAACAGAAGACATTTTAAACGAAAGAGCAAATAAGGAGAAGGGAAAGCTAAAATCATTCAGTCATTTCGGCAACACGAATGTCATCTACATGGATCGGGTATTTTGAGAATCAAGGCGAAAATGGATGCAAGGCTTAGAAGCGACCTATCTCGAACACGCCCTTTCAGATTGTTCCATGAAACCAAAGCTGTGAAATTTAAGAATCGCTCCATGCTCTCGATAATATGACTACCAAACTAGGCGTCAGTCAAAAAAAAACGCGTTAAAGCATCATCAAGGATGGGTCTGGTGCAGGATTTTCGGGATCTTGTATTGATAGATTCCAACTGATAGAGGGGGGGATGGAAGACCGGACAAGATGACTCATGGTGAATTCTTAGGCGGACCATTTTTATCACACAAACGAGACAAAGAACCACCACTAGTGTCAACATCTTCCACTTTGGGGGCCATCACACTCATTCGCACACACACACACAAACAAAATTATAACGAAGGCAGTGGGAGAGAATGCAGTAGAAGGGAAGAGGGGGAGAGGAAAATGATAGCCATTGTACATTGTGTAGGGTTACCAAGTATTGATCGACAGAATTTAAGTGCATGCACTTTTAGTTGCGTTTGCGCCTCGAACCGGATTTGATATGTAGGTTTCACTTCCAACCGTGGATACACTATTTATGTGCTTTTCCTTATTTTTGGCTACGCGAACAGGAAGCAAACCTTGTTGGCATCGCTCCTGACATCTTGGTCTTACAGTTCACACCCATCAATCTCATTATTTCGTCTTAGCTTTGTATACATCTGCGATTTGACAACTAACATGCACTGAGTTTTAGCTCGTGGTCGCGCTCCACGACCAGGTACATTCCAGATAAGCAAAACTAAATCGGTGACAAAGTCCGCAGAAGAAGGCCCAGAATTGATGAAGGGAATGAAGAAACTCTAACTTTATTTAAGGAAGTGGAAAAATTCGTCAGTAGGGCTGAGAAGTTAGCCAGTTTAATGTGGAATCCACTAAAGCAGACACGCAAAACAGTGCCCTACTCAACACCATGAAATGGTTGAAAAAGTTAGGTGCATTTCGATGTTCAGAGCAGCTCACAATGTGTTATGCATTATTCGACTTTGTGCAAAGTGAGTTTGCCAAATTGGGGCTTACCTGCATAGGTAACATGGCAGAGGTGATTTCAACGCTCTTTCTTGTGCTCAACTCAGAGGTGTCAACTTGATGTCTGCCCACTCCTTACGCACGTCAAAGCGCGCACGGATCGCTAAATGAATGGATGAATTGTGAAGCAACAGGTCGATCTCACGACGCAGTCACAAGTATGAACAAGACGAAAGCAAATCTGTGGATGCACGCTTTCTACACTCGGACAGAAAGCCATTGTTTGAGCTCAAGGGTAAGAGTAGCTGAGATTCACCTCATCCACAAAGTGGTGTTCAGCATGCAATAAGTGACTGGGGGAAGATTTGTAATTTCCGTGGTTAATTGGCACAAATTTATTCTGTCTCCGTTCTACGAGATGGGCGAGTAGGTGATGTTAGATGCACAAACCACGCCAGTCAATGGTGGCAAGAGCCAAGCAGCAATTGACACTAGATCATCAAACTTCAATCCATATCCCTAACGCAAAATGTCAAATGGAGTAAGGCTGATTTTTTCCTTTGTACCAGAACTACTGACGATAATACCGGAAAAGTTATGATGCTTGCGTGCCTGCTTCCACAGGCACGCGAAGATCCGAGGTAAATTTGGTAGGCCAGAGAAAGGTGCTGGGGCACCTGATTCACTTTTGGACGGGAAGTGAACAATTCCCTCCCAATCTGCCCAAAAATGACACTCAAGGCATTATGACAGGGCAGGAAACGTTAAGATGGTGGGTACTTCAGTGTCACGATGCAAAACCTCGTCTGCCATGAGGCCAAATATGCTGTAAGCAGACAACAGTAGCAATAAGAGTAGCTTGGCGTAGCCTCAAAATTCCCCGACCATCACGGCGTCAAATGTAGTGGCCTCTTGGGAGTGTGGTTGCGGGTGTGAGTGTGCCCGTGTAGCGATAATTTTTGGGTTCACAGCTCCAGAGGGAGATGAGCTTGCTACATGAAATACCACAACTTTGTGGATAAAAAGTCCACACAGATAACAAATCCCGACACACCTGACATTGGAAGAATCACATGTCCATACAAATACTCATGAGCTCATTTTCATTGGTATTGACTTAGAAAAAACGGACGAAACGTAAATAAGTGTCAACGGCAAGAGCATATATCGCAAAAGGAAGGGGCACAGGCAAAGTCAAATGGGCTTGCCCATCACACCGAACAAGGGCAGGAAAAAGGCATGCATTGAAAAAAAAAACGAATGAGGGTGCTGACTTACCAAAAAATGTTGTTGATCCTGTGATCGCGCGCCTGACAGAAGGCTCGAAAGTGCACTTGCGCCCGCGTGTGGGAACGGAGGGGGGAATGGGAAAACGTGCCGCAGACAGACAGACAGAGAGGAGGCGAGAGAAATCGAAAGAAGTTGAAAGTTGACTCTGTGTGAAATTTCGGCTGTGCGTGTGAACGTAAGGTATATTCCACGGCTGGGTAGAGGGCTCCAACGCGGCCCCACAGCGAAAGGTGTGTAATGGAGTGAGCGTAAGCGTGCGTGTGTGTGTGTGCGGCGCGTTGCGATGTAGCGTGGTATGGTGCAGTGCGTGTGGGTGCGCACGCTATCTTCTGTGGTGTGCGCGAATGCTGCTGCTCGTAGTACTACACAACTACTACTGCTATTGCTAATACTACTACCGCTCCCACCACCGAAAACGCGAGAAAGAGAAAGTACCAAGACTACGTGGGGGTGCCCCTCCTACTGGTGCGTATACGTGCGTGTGCGATGTATCTGTGCTTCGCCTGACGTGCCCGCCTGCCCGCCTGCCTACGTGCGAGCGTTCGTATGTGTGCGTGCGTGTGCATGTCACTACCACCAGCAGCACGACGTACCGGCTCCGTGTGCGTGCCTCCCACCACTACCCTCGCCATCATCGACATCATCACCGCCACTCGTCTTCCTTCTGCTATTGGTGCGCGCAGGTAGGGAGTAGTGCGACAGACAGGCACACAACAGATGCACGTGCAGTGCATACGCATACATGTCTCAAACGCGCACACGCACGCTGTCCACGTAGAGCGTCTTGGCGTTATCGCCTTCTCTGGTGGGCTCGCCCGTACTTACATCCTCCCTTTCACCAGTCAAGTGGGGTGGTGCTGTTGTAAATGGGCTGTCTGTCCTGTGGATTTTTTCATCCACTCACCTGCTCGCATCTACTGGTGGTAGGCCATTAAGGTTTTAACCTTGCTGAGGCCTGACGTTGTTACTAAATTGGTGGTAAGTAGGTGGAGTCCTGACCTTGGGCGATTTGAGGAGGATCGTGAATGTGCGGTTGCTGCTGTTGCTACCGTTGCTAGAGAGACTATACTGCACCAGTTTTACGAGGAAGAATGGGCGTCATCTCTACCACCAGATTGACGGCTTGGACTAGTGTTGGCTACTCAAGGGTTCTAAAACAGTGAAGAAAATGAAACCTTCGAAAAGATGTGGATGGGATGTCATCAGGACCTAAAGTTTAATCAAAACCCTGTGACACAGCCTTGGAAAAACTCACAAACTAAGGCCTCAAAATATCCACAAAATGTGAAAGGGCTTCAAGAGAAATGCAGACCATTTGGGATCATTTTCTGCTTACTTGTAAAAGTAATGCAGTATATTGAGCCATTGTTTGAAAGGCATCAATTGAAAACATTTAGAAGTCTATCTATTTTGTAGACGAATCGGCTCTAAAATCCCATGTGAAGGAATAAAATGCCCCAACGCTAAGGTTCTATGATCTCTAAAGTCACTTCCTTTCCAAAATTCCGATCAAAGGGTACGACACATGAGATACGACGAGTTTGTGAAAGATTTGGGAGTTGTAAATCCTTGTTGTTAACGTAGGTAGGCGACAGTATGTGATAACTGGACTGGTAAATTAAAACGACTGTTTACAAAGTCAGTAAAAAAGATGGTGAATTTTGAGTGTAAAGATGAACTTTAAAAATTTGTCTTTTGTTTTACACACAGTATTATTCAGGCATTTAAAAGTGAGCTTGGTCAAAGTAGATACTTAAGGGATTTCTTTAGCTATGGGAAACCGATTTTTAGCATTTCAACAGGACCTAGACTTTCCGTATGCGACCTCTAATTGTATACAAAAACATCTTCAATAGCTGGCGATATCTAATCTACCATGTTATTAGAGAGTATCTATTGCTTATCCTTTGAATGAAGACCGAATGAAGGAGCATATCTGTTGCGGTCAAAGTTGTGGAAGATGGTAGAAGCTCATGTTGGCAAAGTCAAAGACAAAAAGACAAAAGGTAAAGGAAACGTCACACATAACAGGGAACCAAACACACAGTAAAAATTAAGTTACTTCAAACTACCGTCGAGCAATCACGACCAAATCGTGTTCCAAGGGAAATAAATTTTTCAAGGGTTTTCGAGACTCATTAAAAACGACTGTGCCTTTCGCGATTTGCAGTCGGGTAGCAGCAGTATGTTGGAGGACACACCACACCGCTGCACGAATATTAAAATAGGACCTCCTTCTGCTTCCGCCAACGGCAGTAGCAGCAACTTTCACGCCAAACGACCATTAATCTGAGCAGGGCAACTAAGGACCGGTTTCAAGAACTTGCAGATGACTACACTCTTCTCACTGCCTATTAAACGCACATTAATGTGCACCCACTCCGTGTAGTATTCGTGTCATGAAGCACTTCCTCAATTTCTCGAACATTTTCCTACTTCTAATTGCAAAAATTGTACCATTCGAAGGGCGTTATTACTAAAGCGAGCTTTATCCGACTTACCCTCCATTGTAACTGTTTTGGTTGCTGCTTGGAGTTCCATGAAATCTTCACGATTTGCTAAACACCACACAAATGAACGCATGTCGCAGAAAATAAGAATGGGATTTAGCTTCATGGCATCTTGTTTGAAACAGACTTTGGGAAGTTTGGAATGGGAATATCGAAGCATTTATGCAAAAACGTAATAAAAGTTGACTGAATTGTTTTTAGTGCCCTTGTCAAGCTTAGTATGGGTGGCAGTTCGGCTGAATTAGAGGGAGAGAACGGCAAAACGACAAATTACAGTGCATTTTGAGGTCGACTTTGTGCACTGGACCATGTATTGCATTTTACAGAAAGAGTTTTCCCAATGTCACTATGAGTGGCTCAAAAATGAGCGCTCGGAGAGGTTTAGTGCTTTGAGAAGAATTTATATATTTTACGAAATGATCCACGAAATGCCATAAATGCTTAGTGGTGCGCATCAAGTCTTAAGGGAGCTATGTGATGAAATAATAAAAAGGGTTAATCTCTCTGAATTTTTAAACAGTCGTATTTCAGAACAAAATTTGTGCGTTAGAAATCAATAATGCCCTTCCGTTCTAGGTCTGCACAAATCGATAAGTTTGTATTTGCAGCGGGCTGGTGAATACAAATCAGGTGTTAGCCGCTTAGTCATCCTATGAAATTGAAGACTTATCGCCCTAGTCTCAGTTGCCATGATCACGATGGCTACAACACGCCCTTAGGGAAAGCTGCTTCACATCAAAATGGCCCAAAAGAATCAGGAGTCCACATTTTGGAACACAAATCTAATGTCTCTTTCTGCAAAATTTAGCAAGGCAAAAAATCAGATGATTGCCGAAATTACGTAGAAGAATAAAGTTGTTTACAGTCAATAATTGGAAGGATTATACGGATCTGGTGACAGAAGTTTGCCTGTAAGCAGCTGTGTTTGCGCCTCCCTAATCGTTTATCACAGTTCAAATTTAATTCTCTTTTCTTTAATCTCCCTAACGTGCTCCAGTTTTCCCCTCCTCCTCAATGAGATCAACGATTTTCCTACCTTAGTCACAATAGATATGGGTTCACAATGTGGAGGGACTTGATAGCTATGCTGCTTCTGCACACAGGCGAGGTATAGGCACGAGCATTGTCCAAGTAACCCCTTTGATTTTGTGCTGGTCTGAATGACCGATGTTTACTCTCAAACACGGTGCATTCATGGTGCACGTTTCCTTGCATTATTTAGCCTCTCAATATCACCAAGCACATCAAACGCATCTAGGGTCTGACATCAGTTAGGGAGGCCTCAAGAATGTTAAATGATTCTCTTCACAAACTTTGTTCCGCGCCTTACTTTTAAATCAGGTCTCGGAAGAACGCAGTAGTAATATGAGGTAGTTCTGCCTGATTGGTCAAAAGAAAGTTACTATCGGTATGACATTCAAGCTAGAAGTTACGGCGAAATCAGGCTGCTAAAATTCTTAACTCTAGGGAGCCTTTTTTTTGGTTGGACCACATGTAATGTCTGGTCTTCTAAGCTGTGACATTAAATATGCAATTCGGTACCTTTTAGACCGTGGAGGTTGATAAGCTAAGGCTTGAACACTAAGGAAAAATGTGCTTAAAGGTTTTATCAGAAGTGCATTGCACAGAAAATTGCCAAAACAAAGTCAATCATCAATCCTGTTTCATAGCATCAGGCCTTAACATTATCTGTTTGTTTTGACAATGCGCCACAATCCTTGCATTAAAGGGACACCTTGCACCTCGCACCTTAGCAAGGGCCTTGGAGAGTGAATGTTTTAACATTAAAGTGATGTCTACAATTTGTCATCTATTGGTATGGAAGAATTAGCAGATAATTTGTATAACCAACAGAAAAGACAACAACGAGATCTTCACAATCTATCACCCTTTGCTTCCACACCAACAACAGCCAACAGCCCAACAGCCGCTTATTGACCCCCCATGGGCATGTTTCTAGATGTCTCAGTCCAGCACGAGGTGAGAGTGATGTGACTGCTTTTGGCCTTTGGAATGAGACTGCAGACCTAAAAGTAGGAATGAAGACGACGAAGACTAAAGGAAGCATAGCAAGATATTCATTGGCGTTCACCCTCAGTGGTCCAGATTTTGCCCATAAATGTCGATGACAAATCCGACTCGCATTCTTATGGTCTGTCCCATTTGTTAGCGTAGGTCTAGATGCCGAGGCTTAGGATGACATTTTGAAAGACCTTAAATTCAATTCTGCATTGAATGCAGCAGTATTAAGGCTGCCAGATCCTCTTAATCAAAAGCGAAACCCTCTTGACTTTGTTCATTTACCTATATCGGAAAATGGCTTTCGGGAGAGTGTATGCAATATTCCAAAAGCAAGAAGTTCGACCTCACCGTGTAAAATGTAGCACAATTGGTTTTGTGGATGTTCCCGCTTATCCACATTACTTGACTGCTGTGGAATTGGATAAAAATTCTCCAGAAAGCAAAACACCGCTGTTTCAGCATTCGTATAGTTTCGCTGGAATCGACTTTTTTCTCCAGTTGTTTTTCCATTTCGCTCACACTAACTAAATGGAAATTTCTGCCTCAATGTCGTCAAAGATGTGCCACTTTTTCTGACTGACGAGAACCTTTTCTTGGTGTGACTAGGACAAAAAATCAAGCACAAGCATCGGACACCATTTCCTTTTGTGTCTCTTTAAGGGTACTTAATCAACCATTTTTAATAAATCAGAGCGAAAAAAAAATAAGTGAAATTAACATTTACCCGCCTGATGTGCAACGCTAGTGGATTAGACTGAAATTTATTTTGACGATCTGATGACCCACAAGGCGGTGTTTTGGTGGAAAATAACTATAAAATTTCAACTTTGACGCTTTTGAGTTTCAGCTTTTGCCGCTAGCCTCTCCGCTCCTAAAGCATAGCGTTATTTAGCCAAGCGAGACGCAGAAATTTACGACGATACCATCATATGGAATTAATGAGACTTCCTCCATGTAAAGTTTGCGTCTCTAATGCCTTTGCGTATCCTTTCCATCATTCCCGCTTAAATGGGGTGTTGTTGTATTTTGGGGCCTCTAAAAAGGCTCAAAGATGCTGAGGTGCTTGCTGACAAGCTAAGTCGGAATACCTGCAAAGGTAAGGTTGCATGGTTGATTTGGAAAGCCAAAATATCTTCATTTTAATGTAAGTACTGGCGTTGTGGCGACACCAAAGGGATTCACGTTTGTGCCAGATCATTGCCTTCGCTTGCTAAATGTACCATAGGAAAATAATAGCAGAATCAAATAGAACCCGACCCATTCATTTAAACAGTCGGATTCTCTTATAATTTACACACAAAAACTGGTTTTCGAGGGACAGAGCGAGAACGAGTCATTGCTTGGTATTTGAGTAAGGAAAAGTTTTGGCTTTTAGTGCAAAATGAGCGCTGATGCACACATCCAGTCACGAGGTGGTACCGCCTCAATTCCTCTTACAATTAAATGGGTAGTTTCAGTCTTTTGCTCTTAATGAATTAACTTGTGCAGAGGCATATTGCATGGATAATTAATGCATCTGAATTAAAGTGCGATAGTCACACACCTTCTTCAAAGTTGTTTTCCCACAAAACGCCAGCTGACGTCTTG